TCCATATACCTTTCTCATATCCTGCAGTGTACTTCAAATCCTTTGTAGATTGCCTATGATGCCTGATACAATGTAAATAGTTGCTACAGTGTTATTTTTCTTTTGGAGCAATGTCAATAAAATATCTGCCCATTATCACTGGGAAAATCCACAGGTCTCATCTTAAAGAGAATAAGAGATAGTTTGTTCTGGAGCCATTTTGAGTGACTATGGCTTGGGAACACAGATTTAGGCAACCCCAACGTCCATGTTCCAATGTGAAAGCAGTTTCATCAAATTTTATAGTTTTATAGAACAGACAGTCATAAATCAAGACAACTTTGAAATACATTGGTGGGTACATCAGAGAGGCAAGTACAGCAAGGCAGGAGAGCTTTTCTGTAGGCCCAAGATGCTATCTGGTGGCATTCCCTGCTTTTAGGTGGGTGGAAACCAGCGGTCTGCTATGTCAGTAGATTCTTTTAATCGCAGGATGTGAGTTCTGACACAGATGGGCAAGGAATGGCTGCTCCAGGAGCTAAAACCAGCCCACAGCAAGGTAATATTCCAACCTGTTCACATCACTGTGCTTTTATCCAGTCAAACGGTCTCTGGAGACAGCTTCTTTCTAGGAATTCTCATTCATACCATATTTAACATGAAAGCAGAGGCGTGTGTATGTGTGTGTGTGTGTGTGTGTGTGTGTGTGTGTGTGTGTGTGTGTGTATGTGTGTGTGGTTTTCATTTACTTTGTGTATTTTTCACATATTTTAAATCCTTGATTGGTTAAATTCACAGCTATGGAAGGCCAATTGTAAAAGAAACTAAGTGCAACCTATTACTATAAACAGGAAACAAGCTGGGCATGGTGGCACACATCTGTCATCCCAACAATTGGGAGGCTGAGGCAGAAGGACATTGTGAGTTTAAGGCCAGCCCGAGCCATACAGTATTAAGAGTCCATTACAAAAAACAAAAACAAAGCCGGGCGGTGGTGGCGCACGCCTTTAATCCCAGCACTGGGGAGGCAGAGGCAGGCGGATCTCTGTGAGTTCAAGGCCAGCCTGGGCTACAGAGAGAGTTCCAGGACAACCAAAGCTACACAGAGATGAAAAACCAAAAACCAAAACCAAAACCAAACCAAACAGAAAACCCCAGCAAAATCAAAACAGGAAGCAGTTCTCCACCTGGAGGCCCTGGGGGCTGGGAGAGGGAGGTAATGCTGGAGCACCAGGTGGTGTATCCAGTTCTTGGGGGTTTCTGGTGTTCCCTGTATTACTAAGAACTGATTTTTAGAAGGTCTGCTTTCAGCTGCCATGGATTTGCCTTAGACCTGTTGCCCAGTCCAGAACAACCAGCAAAGTTGGATTAAGGTTTCTGTTTTTTTTTAATTTGTCTGAGGCCCAGGAGAGCAACTCACCCTTGAGGGCACCTTCTCCTCCAGTTCTGACAGCCTGTGTAGAACAACAGTCAGCAGGGACCAGAGATTAAAATAAAGCAGTTTTGAAGTATTGGTGCGAGTCAGTGGAAGAACTTAATAATGTGGACAGTATGCTAAATGATATTAAAATACTTAATAAATCGTTATACTCCAGAGAGCTCATTCTGTTGGGGACTGAAAATAACATGATTTAGGGTTTTTTTTTTTTTTTGGGCGGGGGGTGGGGGGGAGTTGTTTTTGTTTCGTCTTTTTAGAGAAAAAGTATAAATTTTCATTCTATCTGCTGCTTATAAATTAAAAACAGAAACACAATCATGGTTATTTTTCTGTTTTATTTTTAATTTTTTTATTTTAGACAGGGCTTCACTGTATAGCCCTAAATTGGCCTGAAATTTACTATGTAGACCAGCCTGGCCTTGAACTCACAGAGATCTTCTTGCCTCTGCCTCCCAATTAAAGGCTTGTGCCAACACACACCGACAGAAACACAACTATCAGCTGTCAATGTAAAAAGTACCCACTGGCAGAAGCATAGAGGTTTAACCTGATGTGATGTAAAGGGGGCAGCTCTTGGGGCTTCTTACTACAGAGGTAAGAAGAAGATGGAGAAGGAAACCAGGAGGATCAGAATTGATTTCATTTGCATGGGGTAAGTGCTTTGCCTATGCACTGTGTGTGTACCTAGCGTTCATGAAGGCCAGAATGGGGCACTGGATCCCCTAGAGCTGGAGTTACAGAAGCTTGTGAGTGGCCAGGTGTATGCTATCTGAAGAGCAGCCTGTGCTCTAGCTACTGAGTAATCTCTCAAGCCCAGAAGGACAATTGTATCTTGGCACGTGAGCGGTTCCTTAGAGTTTAGAAACCCTTTCTCACCAAGCTGGCCTCAGCCCACCCCTCCCAAACTTTGTAACCTTAGGCAGTTTGTGAGGCACTCTCCCCTTCAGGAAAATTTGCATGACAATTGTGCCTTCCCCAAGAGGTTGCCTGTGAATATTGAGTGAGTTAACACACATTGTGCTTTTTAAAGGCTCCAGAAAACAAAACAAAACCTGGGACAAGTTTCTTTGAGACCTAACACACTTCATCAGATTAAACATTATTAATCCTCCCATTTATTCCTTCAACACATTTTCTTTTTGAGACAGGGTTTATGTAGCCCAGGCCAGCCTTTAATTCAATATGTAGTTGTGGCTGGCCTTGAACCCCTGATCCTCCTACTTCTCTTTTCCAAATTTTTGGATTACATGTGTGTGCCATCATGTCCAGCAAACATACTTCTTGAATGTCTAGTTTGTGCCTGTTTCTAGAAATATGTTTAATAGAGAAATGCAATGTGTACTATTAAGACCTGCTCTTTCCTAAACACAAACAGAGGAGTGGATTCCAGGGTGGGAGGAGGGCTGGGAGGAGAGGAGGGACATAAAGAAAGAAGCCAGGTGTGGCAGCCAGGTGTGGGATCCTTTGATCCTAGCACTCTGGAGGCAGAGGCAGATGGATCTTTGAGTTTGAGGCCAGCCTGGTCTGCAGAGCGAGTTCCAGGACAGGCTCCAAAGCTACAGAGAAACCCTGTCTTGAAAAATTAGAATGCCAGCACTCGGGAGGCAGAGCCAGGCGGATCTCTGTGAGTTCGAGGCCAGCCTGGACTACCAAGTGAGTTCCAGGAAAGGCGCAAAGCTACACAGAGAAACCCTGTCTCGAAAAACCAAAAAAAAAAAAAAAAAAAAAAAAAATTAGAATGCTTGCTTGGCACAGGAGGCTCTGGGTTTGATTATCACCACTACATAAAACACGGTGGCACTCGCTTGTAATCTCAGCACTTGGGAAGTAGGTGTAAGGATTATGCTGCTTAACCATCAGTAGGAGCTTTGGAATCAGAAGTTCAAAGGCCAACCTCAGCTACATGGAAAGTCAGAAGGTAGTCTATAAAACATTTCTTGTAGAAAAAATTCGATTAATTGAAATGTACACACACACACACACACACACACACACACACACACACACACACACAATACTGGGAATGCACACAATTCTGGGAGTGGAAAGGAGTCTCTAATACACTGAGCCACTCCCAGCTTGCAATGTCTTTCTTTTTTTTTAAGAAAGGGTCTCACTCTGTAGCTCTGCCTATTCTGGATTTCCCTATGTAGACCAAGTTGTCCTCAAACTCAAAGTGGTCTTCCTGCCTCTGCCTCCCAAGTTCTGGTGTTAAAAAGCAGTGCACCACCACACCCAACATACTACAATGGCTTTTTAAATCGGGAGGCAGAGCCAGGCGAATCTCTGTGAGTTCCAGGCCAGCCTGGGCTACAGAGTGAGTTCCAGGACAGGCGCAAAGCTACATAGAGAAACCCTGTCTCGAAAAACCAAAATAAATAAATAAATAAATAGATAGATAGATAAATAAATAAATAAACCCAAATATGAACTTGCCCTCATCATTATGTTGGAGCAGCCAGGTATGGTGGCATCTGTAATCCCAGTACATGGGAGGTGAAGGACAGGAGGCTCAGAAGTTGAATGTCACCCTCAGTTACATAGCAGGTTCAAGGTCATCCTAGACTGAGACTCTATCACTCCCACTCCCGAATGAAAGAACATAAAAGCAGGTTGTAAGGGGCTTCGGGCCTGGAGGTGTCAACAGTTCTGTGTTTTGTGGGCACCATAAGCTATTTGGAGAAGAACTGAGAGGTTGGAGGAAGTTGGAGGAGCCTTCTCAGAAGGCATTTGGAGCCGGACTTCAGGAGCTGAGGCCTTGAACCTGCAGGCATATAGAGCCAAGAGATTTCCAGGCAGGCCTGAGGCTCTCCAATTCAGTTTTTACCCACACCTGAGGCCTGCTCAGCATCCCAGCCTGCTGCCCTACACCTGAGACCCTCCTAACTGGCCTGCCTCATCCAATGGCAATGGAATTAGAGGGTATGAGGGCACAGCTCAATGGTACAGCATGTGCTTAGCATGTACAAGGTCCTGTATCCAATCCTCATCACCGAAAGTGGAGAAAATCAAGTCTTCAAAGGCTACATACTTTCAAAAAGTCCCAACATAATAAAAATCAATCGAGATGTTCTTTTAGTATTTGTTCATACTGTGAAGTCCTTCCTTCCAGAATGAGGTTGATAAGAAGAGAGTAATTAGGGAGCTATAGGAGGCAAGGGTAAAGGATGAGGAAGTGAGTCCTGGGCTTGTATGTTGTTGGCAATGTTCAAGGCTGGAGAGGGCTTCCCTGTGCCATTAAAAGGGAAAGCTGTAATGTAGTGATTCTTCAGCACCTAGAGCCTTGGACTCCACCCAGCCAGGCCAACCTGGTGCTTTGGGGAGGAAGGAGGCTCCACAGCCTTGGGACTACGCTCTGTGCAGCCAGCCCTGCAGAAGTGCTTCCAATGGATGGCCTAGCTCTCAGTAACAACTAGAGCAAGGCCGAGCCGAGCCTGTCAGAAGGAAATGGCCCCACAGAGAAGCAGGCACAGAGGGAAGAAGCCCTGAGCTCCTTACAAACATGGTTCCAGCCAGGCAAATGGAGAACGGCCCAAGCCAGCCCTAGAGAGGAGGACAAGCCCTCTGGGGGCCCCTGGAGGACTTGCTTCCCTTGTGGTTTATTGCACTTCCTGTTCCCTTGCTCACTGCGGAAGTTCCTCTTCTTACCCTGCACCCAGAGCTTGGCCGAAGAGGACTAGGGCAGAAGGCACCATGAGTGGTGGCCCTGTAGGAGGCAGGCCTGGGGGCCGAGGGGGCCCAGCAGCTCAGCAGAACATTCCTTCCAACCTCCTCCAGGACCATGAGAACCAGCGACTCTTTGAGCTGCTTGGCCGAAAATGCTCGGTGAGTTGGGGATCTCCTGATCCTCTCGGTCTCCCTCCCTGTCCTCCTCTTCCTCTCTACCTCTTCTTCCCCTTCTGCCTCCTACTCTTACCCAGACTTCCCTGCTCCTTCTTCTTCCCATCTTTTCCCTTTCCCCCATCTCCTCTCCCAGGATTCACTTCCCAGAGTTGGTGGCTCCCAGGACTATCTTGCTATCTACTCACCTCCCTGCTGGGTACAGCTCTTTTCCCCCAAGCTCATGACAGCCTCAGGCAAGCACGGACCAGGCCGGGTTACCCATGAACAGACTCCACTGACCCCTGCTCTCCCATCCTAGACACTGGCCACTGCAGTTGTTCAGCTGTACCTGGCGCTGCCCCCTGGAGCTGAGCACTGGACCATGGAACACTGTGGGGCTGTGTGCTTCGTGAAGGATAACCCTCAGAAGTCCTACTTCATTCGCCTTTATGGTCTTCAGGTGACCCCATGCCCCACTGGATAGGAAAGCTAGTTTCCAACCTACAAAACCAGTTTTTGGCCATAGCCCCAAGCCCTTGTTCATATCAGAGCTCCAGAGACAAAAACCATACAAATCCCAACATGTGTTTTCTCATTCTGAGTCTGAGGTGACTGACCTCAGAAGGTTCATGTCAAGATCCCGATCTGCTCCACAAGCTCCCCGAAGCACCATATTTCTACCTGAGCCTCTGCTTCAATATCTGTTCTAAATCCAACATGTTGAATATTCGTAGACCTAGAATCTTAAATTCACAATGTTGAGCCCTCAACTCCTACAAATAGGCCTCAAATCTCAGACCTAAATCTCTCACATCAGTGACTGCTTCTGAGCCTCTACTCCAATGCTCCATACCAGACACCTAGACCCCGGACTCTGATATTGAGCTGAAGATCTCAAAATAAGACTCTAGGACACCAAATCTGGACACCATAGTCCCTGATTAGAAAACAAAGGTCTGCCACCCTGGGTGCCTGGGTCCCAGCATGTCCCCCACCCTGCCCCTCTCTAGGCTGGTCGGCTGCTCTGGGAACAGGAGTTGTATTCACAGCTGCTTTACTTCACTCCCACCCCCTTCTTCCACACCTTTGCTGGAGATGTAAGTGACCAGCCCGGCCTTGGGCTGCCGTTGAGGTTGGGGGGGGGGGGCGATGAGAACGTCTGGGTCATGGGGAGTGTCAGTTTGCTGACCCCAAGGCATATATAGGACTGCCAGGTAGGACTGAACTTTGCGGACGAGAGTGAAGCCCAGGCCTTCCGGTCCTTGGTGCAGGAGAAGATACAAAAAAGGAATCAGAGGCAAAGTGGAGGTAAGGAGGCCTTGGTGGGAGTTGGGGAGAGAGGTTAGACAGAAGTGAGTCCATGGCTGTGAGGCTAGAAAAGTCCAACTATTCAACCACAGAAAGACGACAGCTACCACCACCACCACCAGCAGCAGCAGCAGCAGCAGCAGCCAGTGAAGGTGAGTCCTCTAGTTCAAGCAGAGGTTGTAAGGAACTAACCCAGAACCCTGTGGCAAGACTGTGGCAGATCGTAACTTACTCCATTTTCCCAGAGAGAAGAGGAGGAGGGCTCCCACCTCTGCCCCCACATCCAGGTGGAGACCATGGGGGTGAGTGGTGATTCTCGTGTCTCTGGAGAGATGATGGGAAGTTAGTAGATGAACGAAGTAGTTGGGTGAATGCAAAAGTTGGTAAAGAGGTGGCTGGATGGCTAGGTGGATGATGGGTGGATGAGTGGATAGATGAGCACAGTGATGGACTGGAGGCAGATAGATAACTAAATTGGAAGATAAAGTGATGAGATGTTATAAATAAATAGTGAGTGGGTATTTGGGTAAGTGGGTAATGAATGGATGGTTCAGTGAATTGATGAATGGGTATGTAAATGGATGAATAGTGAAAAAAGAAATAAATGAGAGCTGGTGAGCTGAGTTCTAAGCCCAGAATCCACAAAAAGGTAGAAGGAGAGAACCACCTCCACAACATTGTCCTCTGACCTCCACAAATGTGTTATGCATGCATGCACATACACACACATATCCTATACCCACACACACAAAAATTAAATCACAAAAATGAGATTAAGGCAGTGGTGGCACACACCTTTAATCCCAGCACTCGGGAGGCAGAGGCAGGCAGATCTCTGTGAGTTCGAGGCCAGCCTGGGCTACAGAGTGAGATCCAGAAAAGGCTCCAAAGCTACACAAAGAAACTCTGTCTCAAAAAAAAAAAATAGATTAAAATGACATAATATTCTACCCATTGAAAATTAAGTGATCAAATGAATGAATAACTTAATAAGCCATTTAGCTGATCAGCCAGAGAATGAAGAGCCAGTATTTGAATGATAAGCATACATAAATCAGTGACTGAATGGCTTTTGGGATCCATCCGCCTCTCCATAGGCCTTGCCTACACCCCTGTCATCCATTCCTCCATGACCATCAAATATACACTTCTTTTTTTTTTTTTTTTGAGACAGGGTTTCTCCGTGTAGTTTTGGTGCCTGTCAAAGTTTTGGGATCTATAGACCAGGCTGGCCTCAAACTCACAGAGATCCGCCAGGCTCTGCTTCTCAAGTGCTGGGATTAAAGGCGTGTGCCACCACCGCCTGGCTACACTACTTCTTCTGTAGTCTTTCTATTTCTTGCCCCTGTGCTTTGGCTAGTAGGTGAGTTGATCATTCACGTTCTTTTCTCTGTAGGCCCATCAGGTAGTCCACTATCTCTAGGACTTGTGACAGTCGACATTCAAAACCCTGACATCACAAGCTCCCGATACCGTGGGCTCCCTGCACCAGGCCCTGGCCCAGTTGATAAGAAACGCTCAGGCAAGAAGAAGATCAGTAAAGCTGATATTGGCGCACCAAGTGGATTCAAGTGAGAACTTCTCCCTCTGTGAGCCCCAAGATCCCAGTGGGTGGGAAAGCCTATGAAGAGGTGGACAGGGGTTGGGGATTTAGCTCAGTGGTAGAGCGCTTGCCTAGCAAGCCAAGGCCCTGGGTTCGGGCCTCAGCTCTGGGGGGTTGGGGGTAGGGGGTGGAAAGGAAAAAAAAAAGAAGAGGTGGACAGCTGAGCAAATGGAAGGAGGGGCAGATGGGTGCATGAGTAGATGAATGGATGAATTAATTAACTAGTGGGTTGAAGGATGAATGGGTAGGTGATTGATTGGAGGGATAGATGAGTCGGTGGTAAGTGGGCAGGTGGTTGAGCATATAGGCAGGATATTGCTCTGCAGGTTGATTGGTTCACAAAGTGGAGAGGGATAAAGAGACTGTCAGATGGATGAATGGATAGTTTATAAGGGAATACAAGTGTGAAGTAAAATGTAAAAATGCAAATGGATTGCCAAGTGTGGTAGAGCACTCCTGTAATCCCAGCACTTTTGAGATAGAGGCATTAAGGTCAAGGGGTAAAAGCCAGCTTCAACTACTTAGAAAGTCAGAAGCCAACCTAGGTTACATGAGAGCCTGTCTCAAAAAAACCACTCAGCCAAGAAAGAAAGTCGGGGAGGGGAAAGAGGAGGCGGGAAGGGCAGAAGGGAGGAAGGGTAGACAAGTAGACGAAGGAAAGAGAAATTGGTGGGCAAATTCGTAAACAGGTATGTGAGCCCATGGGTGGAGGGACAGAGCATGGGCAAATCAATGGTCTGACGGATGAATGTGACCCAAGGTAGGCACTGGATCATGTGTGGATGGGGAAAAGAGGACCAAGGAAACAAACTGGCGTCACAAACTGCGGACCTTTCTCATTTTGCCAACTCCTGCTCACATTTGCTCACTTGTTCTGGCCCCTCAGAGCCCCTCTGGGAAGGTGAGGGCAAGAGAACTTTGCCAGGTGAGGGAAGACCCTGGGGCTTCACTGATACCCACTTCTGTTCCCTAGACATGTCAGTCACGTGGGCTGGGATCCCCAGAATGGATTTGACGTGAGTAGCTCAAAGAACCCTGGACTCAACTTCCACATACTCTCTTGTAGACCAAGGCTCAGACCCCACTCCCAGACCCAGACCTTCTCACAGCCTTCTCAGATCCCTCTTTCTGATGGCTTTGGTGATAATCTGTGCCCCTTCCTAATTCGCTTTATTCTTGAAACCTTGCTCTGCCCTGGGCAGGTGAACAATCTTGACCCGGATCTGCGGAGCCTGTTCTCCAGGGCAGGAATCAGCGAGGCCCAGCTCACTGACGCAGAGACCTCCAAGCTTATCTATGACTTCATTGAGGACCAGGGTGGGCTAGAGGCCGTACGGCAGGAGATGAGGCGCCAGGGTGAGCTCCCTTTTCTCTGTCCTGGGGGTTGTTACCCTAGAAATGCCCTCGAGCCACTCAGTTTTTCATGGAAAAGAATCAATAATCTATCAGTTGGGGTACCTAGTTTACGAATAAGAAAAAATAAAACCCGGCACAGGGGTGGCGCACCCCTTGAATCCCAGCCCTCGGGAGGCAGAGGCAGGCGGATCTCTCGAGTTTGAGGCCAGCCTGGGCTACAGAGTGAGTGCCAGGACAGCCAGAGCTATACAGAGAAACTCTGTCTCGAAAAGCCAAAAAGAAAAAGAAAAAATGAAGCTCAGAAAACGAGTAAAAAATGATCAGACTTGTGTTATTTCCCCCTGTACAGATCCACTCCCTCCACCACCGCCGCCATGCCGAGGAGGAGGAGGGGGAGGAGAAAGAGGAGGTGGAGGAGGAGGGGGCCAGCCCCTGCGACCTCCTATTGTGGGGAGTAATAAGGGTCGTTGTGGTCCACTGCCCCCTGTACCTGTGGGGGGTGCCCCACCCCCACCAACACCCCGGGGGCCCCCACCCCCAGGCCGAGGGGGCCCTCCACCACCACCCCCTCCAGCCACCGGACGATCTGGACCACCACCTCCTCCACTCCCTGGAGCTGGGGGACCACCAGTGCCGCCCCCACCCCCACCCCCACCCCCACCTCCACCCAGCACTGGGAGTGGGCCAGCCCCTCCCCCCCTCCCTCCTACTCTGGTGTCTGCGGGGGCGCCCGCACCTGGTGGAGGCCGGGGCGCACTTTTGGATCAAATCCGGCAGGGAATTCAGCTAAACAAGGTAAAGATCGGCAGGACAGATGATAATTGGGGGTCATGGTTGAGACTGATGATCGTGACAGGCTTTGGGGGTCCAGTGATAAGTTGGGGATTGGTGTGGGCCCTTGAAAGGGATTGGAGTGTGTGAGAGAAGAAAGGGAGAAAGGGCAGGAGGAATGCTCTCCTCAAAGTCCTGAGCCTTCTGTGCCCCAATCTCTTGGTGCAGACCCCTGGAGCTACGGAGAACTCAGTACAGCAGCCACCGTCTCAGAGGTCAGAGGGCCTAGTGGGTGCCCTGATGCATGTGATGCAGAAGAGGAGTAGAGTCATCCATTCCTCAGGTGAGCCCACCCTGCCAGAACTGTGACCTGACTCCCGGGGCCAGCTAGAACTGGCCGGAAAACAGCCCCAGGTGTCACTCATAATGGTGACATCAGAGGCCCATGTGGTGGTGTATGCCTGGAGTCCCCAGTGCTGGAAAAGTTGAGGAAGGAGGCTCTTGAATTCCAGTGTTAACATGAATTTTGAAAGCCAGGGTGGGGCTGGTGCGGTCCTCAGCAATGTTAACCTCGAGTCACCAGGCAACAGTAATACAATTAAGTGTATTTTTTTTTCTGGAGCTGAGGACTGAACCTAGGGCCTTGCGCTTGCTAGGCAAGTGCTCTACCACTGAGCTAAATCCCCAGCCCCTTAAGTGTTTCTTTGACAATAACATTAACATATGCTGGGGGATGTCCACAATATGAACATTAACTACATATGTTCTGTGATATTACTGTGATATTAACACTAGTTGTATGACAAGGTTTTTCCTGGGGAGACACAACATCTACTTACCCTGGATAGGGAGCCCATGGCAGACCCAAGTACAGATACCACCAAAGTCAACGTGGTCAATCAATGACTTTTATTGAGGTTACTTACTGGAACATGGGGGAAGGGTGACTTACAGGAACAGAAACAACTCAAAGACAGCAATATGATCAAAGCCCACCCCAGCATGGGGGACAGCTCACAAAAGCTGGGAGCCTGGAGACAACAAGTTGGGAGTGTCTTTTCCAGATAACTCAGTTGGGCTAAAACCTCTTCCAGGCAGCTCAGCTGGTTTCTGCTTCTTCCAGGCAGCTGGTCTGGTCTCAGAGTCCTCTTTGAGGATGGCTTGCCCCAGAGTGACTCCCAGCAGTCTTTATTGCTGATTGTGAGAGGAAGGGGCCTGGGGAATCTGGTCAGTTTCAGGGACTCCTTGAAGCTATTTGGAATTGTTTATCTTCTGGCTTAAGGAGCTTTCATGCCAGATGGAATGTTTCAATCTCCAGCTCATAGAAAACCGTTAGACAACACCAGCAACTCACTATGTGAGGATACTACTGTAAAGAACTCCATCTTTGGTTAAGAGCCCTGATTGCTCTTCCAGGGCACATGGGTCAACTCCCAGCACCCAGATGGCAGCTCACATCTATCTCTAACTATAGTTCCAAGGGACCCAACAGCCTCCTCTGGCCTCCACAGGCGCCAGGCACACACTTGAGGCACCAACATACATGCAGGCAAACACTCATACATAAAATAATAAACTTTAAAAAAAAAATAAGAACTCCATCTTTGCTGGGCTGGTGGCTCAGCACTTGGGAAGCAGAGGCAGGTGAATCTCTGTGAGTTTGAGGCCAGCCTGGTCTACATAGAGTTCCAGGCTAGCTAGGGCTACATAGAGCCTGTTTCAGAAAACAAAAACACAGGGGGCTGGAGGGGAAAGCACCTGCTGCCAAGCCTGTTGACCCGAGTTCAAACCAACATCCAGCATTCATGTGGTAGAAGTAGAGAACCAATTCCTGCAAGTTATTCTGACCTCTATACTTACTTGTACATGGGCCCACACACAAATTAAAGACATACTTTAAAACTCTTTTTTGGCAATAATATTAAGTCCAATAATTCACAGAATCACATCAACTCATTGTGTGATAATATCATAACCTAGCCTTTTTGTGCGAAAATATGGACCTCTTCATGAATTTTCGTACCATCATTATACAGAGGCCATGCTAATCTTCTCTGTACCATTCCATATGCTCTATATGTGCTGTTGGGCACTATCCTAGCCTTTCTACAATTATGTTAAGAACTGAATGTGCCAACTATCCTGTCGTTAACCCAGTATGTGAGGGTGATACTAATCTTGGCCTATTTCCAATAGGTTGAGAACAAGTTAACAATAATGCCATTAACTGCAACTTGATAATAATATTAATGTTAATCTGAGTATGTTCACAAGACTAATGTGAATCCATTATGTAATAATATTTTAACAAATCTCATCATTTGACAATATTCTCATTAACTTCATTCTGAATCAACAATATTAGCATTAATTGACTAAGGAACAATAATAAATTACCCCACTTTTGCTAATGTTTAAACCTGCCATATTAAGTAACACAGGAGTTATCACGAATATCCAGACTAACAACATGTGATGGTTGTTGTTTGTGGCAAGGTCGCCTGTAGCTTCCGATCTTCCTGCCTCCACCTCCCTAGGGCCAGAATAACAGCACCACCACTCCAAGTTGATGTGGTGCTGGCACTCAAACCCAGTGCTTCTTTTTTTCTTTTTGTTTGTTTGTTTGTTTGTTATTTTTCGAGACAGGGTTTCTCTGTGTAGCTTTGGAGCCTGTCCTGGAACTCGCTCTGTAGACCAGGCTGGCCTCGAACTCACAGAGATCCACCTGGCTCTGCCTCCTGAGTGCTGTGATTAAAAGCGTGTGCCACCACCACCCAGCATCATTTTTATTTTTTTAAGACAGGGTCTGACTATGTAACCCAGGCTAGCCCAGAACTCACAATGCCTAAGCTAGCCTGGTCTCAAATTCATGATTCTCCTGCTTAAACCTCCCAAGTGCTGAAGTTATAATGCATGCATTGCTATGTGCAGCTCTATTAACATTTTGTTGTTGTTGTTGTTTTTAAGACAGGGTCTCACTGTTATATAGCCCTGTCATCCTGGAACTTGCTCTATAGACCAGACTGGACTCGAACTCACAGAGATCCACCTGCCTCTGCCTCCTGAGTACTAGAATTAAAAGCCTGTGCCACCACAGCCAGCCCAACATTTTTTTAAAAATACTGCATGGACTGGAACTCCAGCTAGAACACCCCTTACCCAAATCCCTATTTTGCCCAAGGTGGTGCCTCTAGCAGAAAACTTTGGTCTCCCGGGCCTGAGTCTTTACCTCCTAGGCCATAGGAGCGTTTTCCGGGCCATTGAACCTACTTTCTTATCCTGAGTCATACTCTGAACCTTTCTTCCTCCAGATGAAGGGGAGAGTCAGACCGGTGAAGATGAAGAGGATGATGAGTGGGATGACTAAAGCGTGTTCCTTCCTGCAGGCCAGACACTGTCACCCTGCCATCCAGATCCCCCTCCACTATTAGCTTCGAAATTGAGTTGTGGTTGAACTTCAACCCACTCTAAGCTCAGCATCCAATCTTAAACAAAAAGTTCAGTTCTTATTACTCAGGGATTAAAAAGAAAGCTACGTCTTTGTGTCTCCATGTGTGCGTTTGTTTGAATCCTAAATGTGTGATTTGGGCTTCTATCCCCCACAGTTCCTTTTGTACGCTGATCTCATATTATTTAGCCTTTCGTGTGTATATTCATTTATTCCTTTAAGCTTTCAGTCACTTAGTCTGTATTTCTTTTTTTTTCCCTTCCCATTCCCTGATGTTTAAAACAGGCTTTAAAATGTGTTATTATTTTGGGGAAAAGAGCTAAGACAGTCTCAGTATGTTTCCTAGGTTGTCCTCAAACTCTTTGGCTTAAGCAATCCTCCTGCCTCAGCCTTCTAAGTGCTGGGGCTCCAGACATGTGCCACCATATCTGGCTTCAGCGTATATGTTGTTTCTTTCTTTTATGGTGTGTATATGCATGTGTGTGTGCTGTGTGTGTGTGTGTGTGTGTGTGTGTGTGTGTGTGTGTGTGAGAGAGAGAGAGAGAGAGAGAGAGAGAGAGAGAGAGAGAGAGAGAGAGGCGGGTGGGCGGGGGTGGGGAGAGGGTATGTGTAGGTGAGAGGTTGACACTGGATACCTCTCTCAATTGCTCTTAGTTTTGTAAGATTTTTCTTTTGTTTTGTTGTCGTTGTTTGAGACAAGAGTCTCTCCATGTAGCCCTTGTTGCCCTGGAACGTGCCATGTAGACCACACTGGGCTGAACTCACGAGAGATCTGTCTGCCTCTATCTCCCAAGTGCCACCATGCCTGGCTAGATTTTTTTTTTTTTTTTTGGTTTTTCGAGATAGGGTTTCTCTGTGTAGCTTTGGAGCCTTTCCTGGATCTCACTCTGTAGCCCAGGCTGGCCTCGAACTCACAGAGATCCGCCTGCCTCTGCCTCCAGAGTGCTGGGAATAAAGGCGTCCGCCGCCGCTGCCACCACCACCCGCCCGGCCTAGATTGGTTTTTAAATTACAATTACATTTATGGGTGCTCCCATGCTTGTTTGTACAGGTGCCCATGGAGCCTAGATGCTTTGGATTTCTCTGGAAGCTATGGTTTAGGGGCGGTTGTGAGCTACCCAATGACGCGTGTGCTGGGAACCAGGTTAAAGGCCTTTTCAACATCAGTATGCACTTTTATCTGCTGAGCTATCTCTCCAGCTTCATTATCAACCTTTCTTTTTGAGACAGGGTCTCCCACTGAACCCGGAAGCTTATTGGTTCAGCTAGACTGGTTGATTAGCAAGCCTCGGGGACTCTCCTGCCCCCTTCCCTTCCCTAGCACTGGGATACATGTGACCACAGAACACAATTTTTTATTTAAGTATTATTTATTTATTTTTATTTTTGGTTTTTTGAGACAGGGTTTCTCTGTGTAACTTTGCACCATTCATGGATCTTGCTCTGTAGACCAGGCTGGCCTCGAACTCACAAAGATCGGCCTGCCTCTGCCTCCCAAGTGCTGGGATTAAAGGTGTGCGCCACCACCTCCCGGCAGTATTTATTTTTTTAAATGTATTTTTAAGTTAAAATACAGTGTCATCATTTCCCTCTTCCCTTCCTTCTGTCCAAGTCATTCCATGTGCTTACAATCCATGGCTTCTTTTCTTTCTTATTGTTACCATGTCTCTTAGAAACGACAGTGAAGCTACATTCAGGATAGCTCAACAATATTCTTTAGCTGCCTACACAATACCAATAGACATGCTATCGTGGAAGGGAGTGATCTCCCAGGGTCCCACCTCTAGACGAGGAATTATGAGCCTGGCTTTTCACACGAGTGCTTGGATCAAAGTCAGATCCTCACATTTATATGGTAGCACTATACAGTCAGAGTCAGCTCCCCGGCCGCTAGCCTGAATTGATTTCCTGCTTTTTGTCTTGAAACGAACAATAACTGCCAGACATTACTACAGGGGCCAGGAGATAGATGAGAGACAAGGAACAAGAAAGCTATTTCTCAGTCATGGTCAGTGCTGTGGAGTTGCTGAGTCATTGATAACAGACAGCATTCCAAAGGAGCAAGCTGGGTCGTCCAGTTTGCTGGAAGCAGCAGGTGTGCTGGATCTGAAAGAAGACAAGGGTAGATCAGGGGGAATGTAGGGGAAAGGGCATTCCAGGCAGGGAGCAGTCCATGCCAAAGTCCTAAGGCTTGCCATGAGGGTGACTGTGGATAAGCAGTAGGAAAGTCCTTTATTTACACACTTAATCCCCCCCACCCCCTCTATCTCCGGTTTTGTTGTTTTGAGACAGGGTTTCATGCAGTGGTCTTGAGATTCTTGGGCTTGTTAGTCAACCTGGCCTTGAACACGTGATCCTCCCTCCTCCAGCTCCCAAGTGCTGAGCTTATAGATCTGTGCCACCATGCTTAGCTTAATTATTTTTTAGGTGGATACAATGTGAGTTGAAGCACACAATGAGCAGTCTTTGTCTCTGTCTCGGTGTCTCTGTGTCTCTCTCTGTGTCTCTCTGTCTGTCTCTCTCTCTCTCTCTCTCTCTCTCTCTCACACACACACACACACACACACACACACATACACACACAGGATTCTGATTCTGACAGGACCACCCTCTCAGCTCTGTCCAGTTGTCAGAACACATGGAGCTCGAATTTTCTAGACTCCAAGCAAGATGCCTCACCCAGCCTGCTTCCTAGCCTATGTACATATCGACAATAGCAGTATTACACGTTACCAACTGAGATCCCACTGTCTCCCACTTCAGGGACTTTTTTTCCAGAGAGAAAAATAAAATGTAATCCAGAACTCTCCTTATTTCCAAGAGAGCAATTAGAAACTATTGCATATTAAAACCTAGAAATGAAGTCCGTGCCCCTTCCCATTTTTGAAATCTGGTAGATTCAAGATCTTTGTTACCTATCTGAGGAGGAAGAGAGGAGAAGACAAGAAGATAATGCCGAGGAAAAACAAGTCTAGAAAGGTCAAGGGACTTGCTCAGAGTCATTTTGTTCTTGTGTGGTGCTGGAGATTAAACACAGGACTCCATACATGCTAGCCAAGTACTCTACTCCTGAACTATAGCGCTAGCCCCTCATAGTCTATTTTTCTACTCCAAGTAAAAGAATTTTTTTTTCGAGACAGGGTTTCTCTGTAGCTTTGACCTTTCCTGGAACTCACCCTGTAGCCCAGGCTGGCCTCGAACTCACAGAGATCGGCCTGGCTCTGCCTCCTGAGTGCTGGGATTAAAGGCATGCGCCACCACCGCCTGGAGTAAAAGAATTTTATGGGGAGGAGGCGTCCAGAGATGGCAGGTGTTTTCAATCTGCAAGATGAGTAAAAGAATGGAGTGGATGGAAGATGGGGTAAGGGAGGATTGGGAGATGGAGGACACAAACACAGTGGAAGTAGTAATGGAGGAAGCTGGGCGTGGCTATGCATGGGAAACTTGCTGGGGAAGGGAAAAATCTCCCCCTAGCTAGAGAAGGAGCCAATCTGAGGGTTCCCTAAATTCTTTAATGTTTCTTCATCCCCACCCTGGGCAGGTTCTGGGCTAGGCAGATGGGCAGTGGGGTTAGAAAGAGCCTGTAAGTATCACCTATGCCCCGTCTCAGCCATCCACACAAACCTTAGAAACCTAGTGTTTTGGCTGGGCGGTGGTGGCGCACGCCTTTAATCCCAGCTCTCGGGAGGCAGAGCTAGGCGGATCTCTATGAGTTCGAGGCCAGCCTGGGCTAACAAGTGAGTTCCAGGAAAGGCACAAAGCTACACAGAGAAACCCTGTCTCGAAAAACCAAAAAAAAAAAAAATCTAGTGTTTTGGGACCCCTATGAAGAAACCACTCAAAGCCCAGGGAACCTAACTTGAGCAGGCCCAGCTGGGGTAAAAGAATTGATCTACACGAAGGTGGTTTTCCCAGGGCGAGGCTTATCCATTGCACTCCGGATGTGCTGACCCCTGCGATTTCCCCAAATGCGGGAAACTCGACTGCATAATTTGTGGTAGTGGGGGACTGCGTTCGCGCTCTCCCCTAAAAAAAAAAAGAATTGATCTAGCAGCTAGTAGCTCAGTGGTCCAGTACTTATCTAGTGTACATGAGCCCTGAGTTTGATCTCAGCACAGAGAAAGAGAAACATAAGAAGAGAAAAAGAAGAAAAGATAAATTGAACAAGCAAGTTGTTTGATCTCTGGGCATCAGTATCCTCAGGGGTTTTTGGGGTTTTTGGTTGGTTGGTTTATTGAGACAGGGTTTCTCTGTGTAAGTGCCCTGGTTGTCCTGAAACTCTCTCTGTAGACCAGGCTGGCCTCAAACTCAAAGATCCATCTGCCTCTGCCTCCTGAGTGCTGGGACTAAAGGCATGTGCCACCCTCCACCCCCTGCTATCCTCAGTTTCTTTTGTTTGTTTGTTTGTTTTTGGTTTTTTGAGACAGGGTTTCTCTGTGTAGCTTTGCGCCTTTCCTGGATCTTGCTCTGTAGACCAGGCTGGCCTCGAACTCACAGAGATCCGCTTGCCTCTGCCTCAATTTGCATTGTTTCTACCTGTATGTTCCCATGTGGAAACTCATTACACTGTGTTCCATATCAACCCTTCTGTACATACATTACATTCCGATATGAGGTTTACATTAAAGTAGGTCTGACCTACGTGCCTTGCAATGGATAAAACTTTGCATTGGTGCCATCACTGGGCAAGACAATGTACACAGTAGGTGCTTCGTTAGTGCAGAATGAACAAAAACAGTTGCAGGTGCTACTGCAGACGACCCTTTTTTTAAAAAAATAATTTTTTTATTTTTATTTTTATGTGCATTGGGGGTTTTGTCTACATGTAGGTCTGTGTGAGGGGGCTTGATCCCCTGGAACTGGAGTTATAGATAGTTGTAAGCTGCCATGGGGGTGCTAGGAATTGAACCAAGGTCCTCTGGAAGAGCAGCCAATGCTCTTAACCTTTGAGCCATCTCTGTAGCTCCCAGATGATCCTTCTTTTGAGTTCTCCTAAAAGAGTAGTTAGAATACTGGAAACATCCCTTTTCCAGATGAGCAGGAGATGACCATGCCCAAGTTTTTCATCAGATGAAGAACCTGCCCAAAGTAACACAATTCAGTGATGTGTGAAGGCCTTCACTAAACGCTGGAGCCAGGAATTGAAGCCACGTGATCAGGCTCTAAAATCTAGATTTCACTGTACTTACCTTATTATTTATTTTTTGGTTTTCGGAGATAGAATTATTCTATGTAGCCTGGCTGTTCTGGAATTCACTCTGTAGATCAGGCTGGCCTTGAACTCACAGAGATCTGCTTTCCTCTACCTTCTGAGTGCTGGAATTAAAGGCATGTGCCACCACACCTGACTGTGTTCGGCCAAGGGTTGCTGCCCACCATGCATAGAACCTCTTCCCCTCTCAGCATCTAGATACTCGGGGGTCACATCACAAACCATTTGCATGAGTTAGACTGATCTAGTGGACTCCTGGGAGTAGGAAAGTCCTGTCTGCTTGGGAGACTGAGGAGGACCAATGTACTATTCTAGAAATAAATGGAGATGATTATATGGTAGGAATTAATGCTGTTGACTTCCCACTCACAGCAAGCAGGGGTTGATGGAACCTTATACTAGCCAACTCATAGCTGGACTAACAGGCAGACAGAATACCGGTGCTGGATAGTTTTACATCAACTTGATACAAGCTAAAGTATATCTGAGAAGAGGGAACCTCAATTGAGAAAAATACCTCCATAAGATTGGGCTGTAGGTAAATCTATAAGGCATTTTCTTAATTAGTGATCAATATGGAAGGGCCCAGCCCATTTGTGGGTGGTGCCACTCCTGGGCTGGTGGTCCTGGGTTCTATAAGAAAGCAGGCTGAGCAAGTCATGGGGAGCAAGCCAGTAAGCAGCACCCCTCCATGGCCTCGGCTTCAGGTCCTGCCTCCAGGTTCCTGCCCTGCTTGAGATCCTATTCTTACTCATTTAGTGATGAACAGTGATAAGGAAGTGTAAGCCAAAAAACCCTTTCCTTTGTAACTTTCTTTTTGCTCACAGTGTTTCATTGTAGCAATAGAAACCCTAGCTAAGACAATACCCATTATGCCAGTGAAGGAATGAATTTACCAGCAAGATCCATCCAACTGAGCAGCAGAGTCTCCAGATTTAATGGCCGACACAAGGAAAAGGAATGTGTCGTCAAATGTGCTGGTGCCCCTCTCACCATTTTGTGTCACGTAGGGTTAGTGAAGGGCGTGTCTTCTGGGCCTTCCCAATGAGGAGGATTAGGTTTCACACAGTGTGCCCACTCTAACACTGCAATTTCCCTGAGCCTTGAAATCCCTTCATCAACACTAAGCCAAGGGATGTCAGGCATCTCCAACTCCTTTTCAGTAGGACAGTTTATAACAAATGCTTCTTGGTCAAATTGTTTTTTGTTTGTTTGTTTGTTTGTTTTTTGAGACAGGGTTTCTCTGTGTAGCTTTGGAACCTGTCCTGGAACTCACTCTGTAGCCAAGGCTGGCCTCAAACTCACAGAGATCCTCCTGCCTCTGCCTCCTGAGTGCTGGGATTAAAGGCGTGTGCCACCACCGACTGGCACTTCTTGACCAAAAATTGAAACAAACTTTTGACACCTTTTAACTGAGTGAGTCTCAATGTTAGATCTAGAATCTCCACTCAGTGGGCCCTTATCAATAAACTCAGCCTGATCCAGTTTCATATTCCTGCCACCATTATCCCACACCAATCCATTCTCACACATATTCCCAGACTTCTGCTTGAATGAATGAGCAAACATATTAAGCTCTTTAGTAGTGTAGCACACCTCCTCAAAGTCTACATTTTCCACCTCCTCTAGGAGCCGCTTTGCCTTGAGTCTGGTTTTAGGTCATGAGGCCTAAGGGACAGCAGTATTGTCTTGACTGGTGTCTCCTTCAGAGAAGGTCACTGTTAGTTTAGCAGACAACTCGGGATTAATTTCCTCAGTCAAATTCAGAAAAGGCACTATTTCAGGGGGTGTGGGTACATCATCTTCTGAGGGTGGAGAGACTACTTCCTCAGGTGAGATAAACCCTGAGAATCTGAGGGTTCCGAGTTCTCAGCTTCAGTTGGGTCCTCCCACACACCCCCATCTCAAGTTGCAGGGTCCCATACTTTACCAATTAATGCCCTTACTTTAATTGCCGACACCCTCCAAGACTGGGGCTTGAATTTTCACTGTAATTCAAACAACCTTATACTGAGGGCTTTGGTTTGATTTTCTGCAACTTGAACTCTGGCTGCTGGAGAGAAGATCCTCTTCCAGGGCACACTTAGAAACCTTTAGACTGTTTCCGCGCATCTGGAGCTGGTCAGTTGATTTTATCACTGACTTCTTTGTTGTCCTTCCGGATTCTGAGATGCTGGAAGTGCATTTTTTTCCATTGTCAATTTATCCAGAGAGGGTAGGAGCAACCAACCAGCATCATTATTTTCATTAGTTTTTTTTTCTCATCAATTGTCAAAAGTTTTATATCCAGAGTCACCAAATCCATTGTCTCTCACAACCGTTGAAACAGGATAATCAAATAAATTGTTTCCCTAAGTTTGTAAAACAGTTGACACCATGGACTCTCAGTACTCTCTCGGAGCTTCTGGGAGAGGCTTCAGTAACTGTAGGGGTTGGCCAATTGGAAAGCCTATTCCAGATCAGATACTTAAAGGAGTCATCCTTAGACTTCTGTTGCTTTAGAACCACTTCTGGTACAAAATGTGCATTAGTCAGGGTTCTCTAGAGGAACAGAACTTATAGAATAAAATAATATATGGGATTTATTAGAATGGCTTACAGGCTGCTGTGCTCCTGCAAGTCCAACAATGGCTGTCTACCAAGAGAATGTCCAAGAAGCCAGTAGTTGTTCTGTCCCGGAGGCTGGATGTCTCAGCTGGTCTCTATTACATGCCGGGATCCTGAAGAGGTAGGCTCTAGTGCCAGGAAAGGAATGGGCTTGCCAGAGAGAGTGAGGGCAAGCAGGCAAAGACAGCAAGCTTCCTTCTCCCATGCCTTTCCTACAGGCTGCCAGCAGAAGGTGTGGCCCACATTCAAGGTGGATCTTCCCACTTCAAAAGATCTGGATTAAAAATGGGTCTTCATAAGCCAGGCAGTGGTGGCGCACGCCTTTAATCCCAGCACTCGGGAGGCAGAGGCAGGTGGATCTTTGTGAGTTCGAGGCCAGCCTGGGCTACCAAGTGAGTTCCAGGAAAGGCGAAAAGCTACACAGAGAAACCCTGTCTCGAAAAACAAAACAAAAAACAAAACAAAACAAAAAGTGGGTCTTCACACTCAAAATGATTTAATTAAGAAAAAATCCCTGCCTTTAATCCCAGCACTTTGAAGGTAGATGCACTTGGATCTCTCTGTGAGTTTAAGGCCAGCCTGGTCTAGAGCGAGTTCCAGGACAGCCAAGGCTACACAGAGAAACCCTGTCTCAAAAAACAAAAAAACCAAACAAACAAACAAAAACAAAAACCAAAAAAAGTCCTAATTTGGAAGCTCAGGAAGGCAAACAATTCATTCCTAGTCTCCCACCAGCTCTGCTATAGCTAACTCCTGCGTGGAGCTGCTTAATCGCTCCAAGTATTCTCTGGCCAGAGTTGCTGTGTGCTCCCTGCCCTATTCAGTATCTTAGATTGCAAGGTTAAGCAACTTCCTGACTTAAAGAAATGAGTCAGCAAACTTGCTAATCAGTAACTTTTCTCTAGATTTACGGACTCTGGAACATCCAATGACCTTCAGACAACAGCTTACATTTCAGAAAAGCAGGCCACTGTGGAATTTATGACCATCCCAGCACTCCTCAAACTAGATAGTTTCCTCAGATCCCTTGTTTGCCTTATACCTGCAGACCCTGAACAAGATGGTCTTTGTTGGTGACAGTCTCCTCTCGTGTTTGTTGACTTTCCAAATCAATCGTCTTCTTTGGTCCCAACCTGTCCTTGAGTTACTGGTCTTTTCTAGTGATGAGTAAATCAATTTTGGTGCTCTAACAACAGAGCTAACCTTGGCAATTTCAGGCTGGCTGACCAAGTCTGTAGCTTCCTGCCAGGCAGCTATTTCTGGTGGCTGGTTGTCTACCTTGGCTGAATCACATGATAGTGAGGGTTCTGACTGATCCCCCACAGGTAGTATGGTTAGTGGGATACAGAGACTGACTACCGGGTTGTCTGACAACATGACGAGAGGAAGAATGACTAAGTCACAGGTCAGCCGATTAACAGCTGTCAGTGAAGCTCGCTGACTCCGTGGATGCATATAGTTGCAGACTATCTGTCCTGATAGAATCCAAGTCTCCCTGAGGGACCCAACACATCCAAAGATACTGATTGATTGACTCATAGTGGGAATGAGAAATGATAGATTCATTATAGGAAACCAGCTTGACATGACCACAGCCATTTCAGTCATAACCTCAGATGGTGAAGCATATGACCTCAGCACTTTCCAAACCTACAGGATGAACAAAGTCATTAAGATAAGTCAGGTGGCCGGTCGGTGGTGGCTGATTGCACTCAGGAGGCAGAGGAAGGAGGATCTCTGTGAGTTCAAGGCCAGCCTGGTCTACAGAGTGAGTTCCAGGACAGGCTCCAAAGCTACAGAGAAACCTTGTCTTGAAAAACCAAAAACCAAACAAAACCAACCAACCAACCAACCAAAGAACCCCCCCCCCCACAAAAACAAAAAAAAAATCCCCAAACCCTTGCTCCTGCCGTAGAGTGTAGAGTTTCTCTTATTTTGCTGACACTAGAGATACAATTAAGTTTGTAAATCTGTAATAAATTTCACTTTGTGAAATCCTGGATTTTTCTGACTCTTTTGTACGTGTTCATGTTTTTGTATATGTTCCTGTGGGTTGTGTACATATGCATACACATATATAGGCTTGTGGTCAATGTTGGGCATCTTCCTTGATTGCTCTCCACTTTATTTTTAATTTTTATTGCATTTATTTGGGGTGTGTGTGTGTATGCACAATAGCTGACTGGGACCTCCTGTCTCAATCCCTTGAGCACTGGAGTTACAGACTTGTTGCTGAGGCTCTGAATTCAAGCCCTTATGCTTCCATGGCAAAGACTTTACCCCTCGCCCAATTCTTTCTTTGGTCTCTCGGCATCTTCTGCCTTTAGTAGCCAGTTCTCACACACGGAGTTTTCCCTTTAAATCAGAGGATCCACTGACGGGTGACCCCAAGGTTTCATCACACCCCTCCCTATTGTAAGGGCCTAGCTAGGTGCTGTAGCCACTGATCAACCACGGTGTAAATGAGGAGTAACCAAAGTGAACCACAGTAACCACGTGGCAGTGTGCCTGTCCAGAGAGAGCTTTGAGGAGCTGACAATGATGTGTCCTGACCTAATCCCAGTCTACGTCAGGACATAGGTGGACGTTGTAGTTTATGAGAAGTTTCCTTCAGGGGTGATCTTAGCTGGTCCCATGTCGACTGTAGATGGAGAAAAGGGCGGACTGGCTGACAATGTCATGGGGACAGTTTGAGGGAATGGTAGGCTATCCAGCAGCACATAAGCTGTACTTCGGTGGACTCGGATGGCTGGAGGGCCCAGATGGACGCTATTGACTGAAGCACAGTGCGAACGTGCAGGCCAGTGATCTGAAGGGACATCTGACTGCGGCGACCGACTAATGATTTATTTGAATCAGGTGACCGACTGAGCACCTATATATGGCGCTAGGTCCACCCTGGAAGTGAATGCTTGCCTAAGGTTAAAATATAATGACGGACATAATTGGAGTCGGACAAAACAGTCCCTTTATGAATGGCTGAGGACGTGATTGGCTAGCAGTGTGACGGACGGGGCAGGGCCTTGGGGAACTTCAACCACTTCTACTGCCCAGACGCACTCTGGGAAGGAGCAGCGAGCACCAGTCCTCGAGACCGCTCCTGGTGACGGGAGGGGTCCGGCCACAGCTCACCGTTTGGTCGGCGCCGGGGCTGCGGGCAGCGAAGGACGGCCAATAGGCTGCGCGTTCCCGGCCACGCCCGCGCGCGCTCTCTTCTCGCGAGGCCTGCTAGGCCCGAATGTCGTTAGCTGTGTAGAAAGATGGCGGAAAATTTAAAAGGTGAAGCAGTGGTGGCTGAGGCGCAGGCTACTGGCCCGGTCGAGTAGAATGGAGGGAAGGTGTCGAGGGCTCCGGGCCAGGCGTCCGGAGCCACGAAGCCTGGAGCTAGTAGGCCGGCGCGGAAAAGATGGGGCTGGAGAGCGCGGGCCCGGCGCGCGGGCTGGGCGGGGCTGAGGGGAGGGGGCGCGTGCTTCGGCCGCGGGGGGCGCGGGGCTGCGCAGGCCGCGCGCGGGGGTTCTCGGGCACGCGCTGCCGGCCGGCGCGCCCACGCGCGCGCTAGAGTCCGGAGGAGAAGGTTGCGACCACACGCGGGAAAAGCAGCTCCCGGTGACCATTACCCTTTCGGTTTCCACGGGAGACGCCGGAAGGGAAGGAAGAAGGGGAACGGACCCCCTTCTCAAAATGGGGGAACCGGCGACTCTAGGTGGGAAGGGATCTCGGCGTGATGAGGGCAAGGTTTAGGGTAGCAGAGTCTCCTCATGAGAGGGAGTGGGGGTCTCGGTGATAGGCGGGCTGGACTCCTCCATGTGTAGGAAAAGGGGTGACTGCGTGTTGGGCGGGCTCGGCAGTGAGGAGAGATTCCACAAGTGTGAGCCGCAGCTCCGAGGGGTAGGAGTCCAGCTGTGCTGAGTGCGCAGCCAGATGCTGGAAATGTGACCCGGGGCGGCTTCTGAGCGGTTGCAAATGCAGGTTAAAGGTTTGGGAAAGGAAAGGCCTCAGAGGAGAAGGCTGAGTCGTCTTCGCTGGGCCTTGGCTAAAGGATGGGTGTACACGCAATGATTTTGAAAAGTGCTTGTGTGTTTTTAGGTGAACAGGCTAGAGTATTTCATTCATGACGGTTTTAGTTTTGAGTTGTATAATGGGGGTTGAAAACATTAAGCATATTTTAAAAAAAGATGGCATTGGATATCGGCAACATACAGTTAGCATCAAGTGTTTTGTGACATATGATTTTAAAAAAAATGGCTTCTAAAGCACATTAAAGGAAGTGCTTTGAAGTAAAGATGTGTATCTTTTTTATCCGTTTGTCTTGAACAGCTTTGGAGACCCTAATGAGTGTCAGTGACTTAGCACATGTACTGTTTATATGTTCCTGAATTGAGAGCAGGGCCCTTTGGATTGAGCTGTACTTTTCACAGAAACATGGGATGAGACAGCAAGTGATAATGCAGCTTGAGAAAAATAGACCTTAGGTGTATAAAATAGCCCAGACGAAGTCAAGGAAGCTTCCAGTAAAGTTAGATCCTGTTTGTTTTTCTGAGACCATCTCACTATGGCTGTCCTGGAACTTAGTATGTTGACCCGCTGGCCTGGAACGCGCAGATCTGAGATCTGCCTGTCTCTGCCTCCCAAGTGCTGGTTCTAAAGGCTTAATCTAACACCTTTCCGCAATCTTTATAATTCCAAAATCAAAAAAGGCCCTGAAAATAGAAGTCTTTTCTTAAAGTTGTCACTAATGGCAAAAGGAGATCTTTTTTGTTGTTTTATATTTTTTTCCAGACAGAGTTTCTCTGTGTGTAGGCCTGACTGTCCTGGAACTTTCGCTCTATAGACCAAGCTGGCTTCGAACTCAGAGATGTGCTTTCCTCTGCCTCCCGAGTGTTGGCACCTCCACGACCTGGACAAAAGGAGATCTGTAAAAGCGCAATTATTCAGTGAGGCTATTTAATGCGGAAAATTCAGGCTTTTGCTGTAGATGTGTTTGCTGTTAGTGTGTTTGATTATGGATGGCTTGACGCCCTAGACCCTGTTGTGAATGTGTCTAAAATTACATTTTTTTCAGTCCCCACATTTTTGAATTCCAAAATAAATGTGGCCCAGGAGTTTCAGCTAAGTGATTGAGGACCAGTTTTACAGTTATCACCTCTGTTTGCTCCCCTGGGGGTTTTCATCCTAACCCCTCACCCCTTTAGGCAATGCACCCTGCTGAGCTAGGAAGCTGTTTTCTTTCTTTTGCAAAGTGAAAAGAGAGAGGGGTGATTAGGTATTGAAGCTAAGGCAAGTTTGCAGGCAGTTTTCGGTCTTGGAAGTTCTAGGAGTAAATAAACCCCTTTACGCACAGCCCGTGCCACAAGCCCCACTTTCAGCCTTGCTGTTTTAGGGTTAGGGGGCAGGGTTTGGAGTAGAAGATTCTCCCGGAAGAGGGGATGAGTCCTTTTGTGACTCTGGCCGGGCGGGGGGGTGGCGCACACCTTTAATCCCAGCACTCAGGAGGCAGAGCCAGGTGGATGGATCTCTTATGAGTTGGAGGCCAGCCTGGTCTACAGAGCGAGTTCCAGGACAGCACCAAAGCTACACAGAGAAACCCTGTTTCGAAAAAACAAACAAACAAAAAACAACAACAAAAAAAATTTGTGACTCGTAGGCCTTCTCATTCCAGGCTGCAGTGTATGTTGCAAATCATCCTGGAATCAGCTTCAGGATCTGTGCCGACTGGCCAAGCTTTCTTGTCCTGCCCTTGGCGTTTCTAAGAAGAATCTTTATGACTTTGAAGTCGAGTACCTATGTGATTATAAGAAGATCCGTGTAAGTCTGGTGGGGGTGTGTGTGTGACTGCCCGTGCAGGGGACCCTCTTCCCCGCCCAACCCCCACATCTCTTTACAAAGGATTTTCACCTGGTTGAAAATGGGATGAATCGACTGTCTTATTTCCATTTTACGGGCGGGGGAAATCAAGTGGCTTTTTCATAGGACAATAGGCAGAAAGAATCCTCAACTGAATGTCTGTTTTCCACTTGGAAACATAAATAACTTGCAGAGATACAAAGTGATAATCTGAACCTAAGAGTGGAAGTAAAAATGGCAACAGTTACTCAGTATGTCCACAAGAAACTTTTTCAACTGATAATAAGGATGAAGTGGCAACAGTTTCTGCCAGAGAAAGCAATGGGATAGTTAGTTAGTTACTAGAGCCCACTGAAAGTCGCATGCTTAAAATGTAGCCTTCATTTTCCCTAGAGTTGTGAGAATTAGTTGTAGGGTGTGTCAGTTGCTTGGGACAATACCTGCCACATAGTGAATGCTAGAAAAAAATATTAACTGTTTTTCCTTTCCTTTCCTCTTTTTTTTATTTTAAGACAGGGTTTTGCTATGTTGCAAAGACTAGCCCCAGACTCAGAATCCTTCTGCCTCAGTTTACTGAGTGACAGGATTATAGATGTGTATATTATATGTATATAATCTTCTCCCCACTTATATTTTCTTCCTTACAGATGAGGTAACAGACATGGCATAATTTATTTGCCTAAGGCAACATAGCCAGGAAGCTACAGATTGACATTTTAAAGTCTATCCTATGGCTGACTCCCAGCAATTAGATCTCCCCTCCCCTGGCCCTGTGCAGAAAACTGCCTGAAAGCAGGGTTCACCTACCACAGGACAGGCTGCTCGAAGTGGCAATGTTTTGATTTGGTGAGGGGGTTGGATTCGGAATGTATTTAGTGGGGAGTGTGAGCAAAAGAGGAACCAAGAATAACTACAGGAGTTTGGGCCTGAAGAGATCATTGGAATATAGAGGAGGAAGTGCTCTGGGGGTTGAAAAGGAGGCATTTCAACAGCTAGTAAGGGGGGGAGTGGAAGTTGAATTCAGTAGTCTTACTCCAGAGGCACTGCCTGGAGCCAGTCTAGAAAGAAAGTGCTGTGAGGTGAATGTTCTCCATTGCCACAAGGGTCTCACATTTATGGTACCCTCCTGGCCCTGTCCTAACAGGAACAGGAGTACTACCTGGTTAAGTGGCGTGGATATCCTGAGTCAGAGAACACCTGGGAGCCACGCCAGAATCTCAAATGTGTGCGCATTCTCAAGCAGTTCCACAAGGACTTAGAAAGAGAGCTTCTCCGGCGGCACCGCCGCTCAAAGCCACCCAGGCATCTGGACCCAAATTTAGCCAACTACCTGGTGCAGAAGGCCAAGCAGAGGCGGGCGCTGCAGCGCTGGGAGCAAGAGCTCAATGCCAAGCGCAGCCACCTGGGACGCATCACCGTGGAGAATGAGGTAGACCTGGATGGCCCTCCGCGGTCCTTTGTCTATATCAATGAGTATCGTGTTGGGGAGGGCATCACCCTCAACCAGGTGGCTGTCGGCTGTGAGTGCCAGGACTGTCTGTCGGCACCCACTGGAGGCTGCTGCCCTGGAGCATCCCTGCACAAGTTTGCCTACAATGACCAAGGCCAGGTGCGGCTGAAAGCTGGTCAGCCCATCTACGAGTGTAACTCCCGATGTTGCTGTGGCTATGACTGCCCTAACCGTGTAGTCCAGAAAGGCATCCGCTACGACCTCTGCATCTTCCGCACTGATGATGGGCGAGGCTGGGGTGTCCGCACGCTGGAAAAGATCCGCAAAAATAGCTTTGTTATGGAGTATGTGGGAGAGGTGAGGAGATGGGTGCGGGTATGTGTGCAGCTTTTCCCACTATGTGTTTGTAGTGTGTGCCTCAACCATGTGCCTAAACTCTCCTGCTTTCCTTGTGAGAAAAGCCTAAGGTGTTGGTCAGAGTGATACCGGAACATGGAAGCAGGGGTCAGTGCTTTTCCCTGACACATCAGCGGGACCATGCTGGTAGTTGAAAGAACACTGAAGTACTTCTGACCTCAGCTGGCCTCATAGGGTATATAGCAAAGAAAGTGGGCACTGAGCTTTAGGCAGCTAACTTTGCAAAGCTACGTGATCAGGGCAAGTTTTCTCCTTCTTTTGTGATAAGGGTCATTGGATCAGAAACAGTGAATCTAAAGTAGCATGTAGGCTTGTCTTGGATGGAGGTTTGGCAAGATCCTCTAGACCAGTGGTTTTCAACCTGTGGGTCCCAACCCCTGGGGTTCTTACAGGGCTCACCTAAGACCATCGGAAAACACAGATATTTGCATTACAATTCATAACAGCAAAATCACAGTTATGAAGTAGCAACAAAAATAACTGTATGGTTGAGAGTCACCACAACATGAGGAGTTGTATTAAAGGGTCACAGCGTTAGGAAAGTTGAGAAAAACTGAGCTAGACTTTCAGGTTACCCTGGGGAAATGCTAGATGGTACATGATGCAGGCTAACTTTTTTTAAATCAATAATCCCCAGATTTTTGTGGATTAACACATTAGGAGTTAGTCTGCATTGTTTTGAGGCAGAGTCTCCCTCTGTAGCACAGGTTGGCTTTAAGCTCACAGTCCTGCTTCCCCCTCTGAGTGCTGGGACTATAAACATGTGTCACCATGCCTGGTCTAGATTTACCTGGTTTGTGAACACTCCAGGGTGGGTATTTCAGTGGATCTCCTGTCCATATAGTGACTCCGGCTCCCTAGAATTTTATCCCCACTTTGTGCCTTTTTTGTACCTTAGGGCCTTCAGCTCACCGTCAGATCCTCCGCATTTGCAGTAGGGGACTGAAGGGGAAGGTACTAAATGAGTCAGGCCTGGAAGCAGTACATGCTACTTATGCCCACTATTGGCTGGAAGTGAGTCACTAGCCTTACCTCTGTACTAGGGAGGTGTGGGGGTGTGTGCTTTAATTTTGTAAAACAAGAGTCTGGGTGAGCAACTAGCAGGTGTGTACAGCAGAAAGTACCACATTCTAAGTAAGACATGATGGGCATTTGGGGTTGGGCAGTTCTTTTTTATGGAGACAAATCTCACTGCTTGCGAGATTTAGCTTCCCTGGGTCTTGACTGTCTAAATGTGTGTTTTTTCATGACATTTTCCATGTATTTTCATAGGTCCCTCCTAGATGTTATTTGCTCGGAAAGTGACAGTCTCTAGCTAGACGACACATGCGCAGGTGTCCACCTGTAGCAGTGACACTGATGACTAGGAGAGGCCTCCACTCTTTTTCTTTTTCGGTTTTTTTGAGACAGGGTTTCTCTGTGTATCTCTGGCTGGCCTCAAACCCGCCTGCCTCTGCCTCCCAAGTGCTGGGATTAAAGGTGTGGGCCGCCGGCACCACCACCCTGTGAGGTTCCAGTCTTATGACCTGGAGGAAGCTTGAGCTCTCCATACTCTAGAAGTGTCTTTACCCCAGAGTGATTTGGAATAGTCTGGGATATAGACAGCTTTCTAGAAGAGAATGCTCTCAGCCTGGGACCCCTGATGGTCTGGAAGGGGAAGTGTCTAGACCCTCTGAGATCTCAGCATTCCTAGAGACATCCCAAGCAGGAAGCCAGTCAGTATAATTGTGAGCAAGGTAGAGGAAAAGCCCTCTCTATACACAGGGTCTTATAGGAAGCAGCATCTATACCCCATAGGAAGGAAGGCTCAATCCCCCGAGTGTAGTGTCCTTGCTTCTCCACTCTGGAAATAGCAGGGTTGGTTTCCAGGAGCACTCTCTCACCTCTTCCTTACCTTTCCCTCTCATCCATTCTCTCCATGTTATTTCTTGACCTCTGTGTCTTGCCAGGGTCTACCTGCTTAGGTCCAGGCCTTCTAGTACCCTCAGTTTCTGTGGGTCCTTCTGATGGTGTCCTTCTACCAAACACTGCCGGAGCTAAACCTTTTTCCATGTGGCCTCTGAAGAGGCAGTAAGTACAGTACAGTGGGTAGAAGGTGGTCCCTGGAGGCTGGCTGCCAGCCTGCCCTCCCACTCATCAGCAGTCACTTCATGTCTCTTTCTGTTTCCGCATCTGGAAAAGAGGAGAAGGAAGCACTTAGGTTGTTCCTCCCTGGGAAGCACTGGGAAGATGCGCTTCAGCAGTACTTGGTAGTGCTTTAGTCCAAAACTCAGACAATCCAGATTGCTCAAAATTGAAAGGTGGTTTTTTTGTTTTTAATAGCCCGACCTGATGTGTTATTTTGTTTGTACTGGGGGTAAATATTCATATATTTAATCACAAATGTTAATCTACTTAATTATGGGGCACTATCTAGATGTTCCTGAGGTATATTATTGTAAACCCACCCCCCCATAGGATGCAGGGCCTCCCTTATGCCACATCCTAACCTGCAGGGTGCTATGTGATTAATTCAGAGGATCCTCCTCAGTCTTGGATGCCAATCTTGGGGGCTACTGACAGTTTGTAACAATAGTTCCTGCTCCTTTGGACCTTTCCATGTTTGTTCCAGATTTTCATATTTCCACAGATTCTTTCTAACCTCACCAGGCAGAGAATGCTAGCAGTTTATTTCTGAAACATGAGTTCTCTCTGTATTTTATCATCTCTGGAATGGAGGTGAGTTTTAATTGATAAAATGGTAGTCATGGGCACACAAAGGAAGGGTGAACCTTAGATTTCAACAAGGTGTGGTACTTAACCGGTCACTGCAAAAGCAGCACAGACCATTTTTCTCACACACATGCGCTTGTGTCTTTACAACAGCCCCCCAAGTTGGGACTTTGCTGCTGACATTCCCATTCTATAGATGAGAAAATAGAGGCCCAGAGGTGCCGTGCAGGAGCTTGGTCCAAGTTATAAAGCTAGTAAAGTGAAGTAGGTAGGAAATGCCTAGTATTTAAACCTGGTGTTATGGCAGGCCCGCTGGCTTTTTTCTTTCCCCGAGAAAACAGGCACACAGAGAGAATAATATTCAGGATCTCACCTACAGGAGGGGCTGACAGCCACTGACTTGGTTTCCTATTTCTCATCCACATCAGCAGCCTTTTTAAGCTGCCAACTCCTAGGCTGTTTTCCCTGACAGCCTGGAGAGCTACTAGAGAGTAGGGATGGAAAGGGATGAGTTTTCAGGGTGGGACATCGCAGGAGAGAGGAAGGGAGGGCTGTTTATGCCTGGAGGGGATGACTCATCCCGGTGAGACTGGGGCAGCAGGTAGGAGCAGAACAGACAGAAAGATGGAGTGGGGGAGGATGTGAGTGTTCCTTAGACTCCAGTTAGAAAGCTGGTTCAGAGAAGAGCAAGTCTGCTGGTGAGTTAGAATGGCTGCCCTTAGTTCCCAGCCTTTAATGAGAGGTGACTGGCATCTGAGGGTCTGGAAAGCCAGGGGTTCCAAGTAGTCACATACTGACACCATAAGATTCTCCGGGAGCTAGGAGACCTACCTCAGCATACTTTAAGTGAATACTCCTATGGCTATTGCTTCATCCTTCAGGAGATAAGCCTCACTGTTGGTGGTGGTGGTGATGCCATAATGACCTGGAGCCTGCTTTAGAGGATGAATCTCTCTCTCTCTCCCTCCCTCCCTCTCCTCCTTCTCCTCCCTCCCTCCCTCTCTCTCTCTCTCTCTCTGTCTCTCCCTCTCCCTCCCTCTCCCCCCTCTCCCCCCTCCCCCCTCTCTCAGACAGCGTTTCTGTCTCTTTAGATCATCTTTAGATCACGCTGGTTTCCACTCACAGAGATCCGCCTGCCTCTGCCTCCTGAGTGTTGGGATTAAAGGCGTGCACCACCACCGCCCAGCTGTATCTCATTTTTTTAGATTTTACTTGTGTGCGTGCTCATGTGCAGGTGTTCGTGTAGCCCAGAAGGAGAGGGGATATTGGATCCCTTGACCTTGAGTTATGGGTATTTGGGTTTGTTTTTTGAGACAAGGTTTCTCTGTGTAGCCCTGGCAGTCCTGAACTCATTATGTAGACCAGGTTGGCCTCAGAGATCTTACCTACCTCTGCCTTCCAAGTGTTGGGATTAAAGGCATGTGCTGCCACCACCCCCACCCAGCCGACTCCTGTTGCACTAAGCACGTTTTACCAGCCATATCTAGGCCATATCTCTTAAATTCCTCCCCTCCACCACCATCTGAGGTTTTCTTGAACAATGTCTTACAGTGTGCAGGTCTGATTCCATCTTTGTTATATCTTTGGCCCCTGAGGGTCAGGGCTAGGCCTGGATTCTTATCTTCCCCAGCCAGACTGACCACCGTTGTGAGCAGGATCTAGGCACAGTCTCCAGTACAAAATAGCCTGGTGGGCTGAGGGTGTTATATATTGCAGTGGTGGAGTGTGTGCTTAGTGCACACTACGGCCCTGAATTGGTTTACACCATCAAAAAACAAAAGACCACTGAATGAATGAAGAAAAAATGCAGATGGGGGAGTCAGGTCCTTCAGGAATGAGCCAGAGTAGGAGGTGGTATGAAGTGTGGTTTGGAGGTAAATCTAGGTTTTATAGAGGCAGCTGTTAATCAGTACTTGGCCCAGGACATAGGTGATGGATGGCAGAAGAGGCAGGGAGCAAACGGCTAGAGAACACAGGGTGGTCATGACCAGAAGGGGGCAGATTTGAAACACAGAAGGAGCATGGCATGCTCAGCAAAGCTGCATAAGGGGCCAGGAAGGTCTGTGTCCAATTTCATCAGGGAGGTGGACAGTGTCTTTGAGGAAGAGAGGGAAGGAAGAAGACAGGTGTTAGAATTACCTAGAAGACTGCCTCTTGGGCCAGAGGGGTTGCTGGATCAGAGAACAGAAGGAAAAGAGCAGTTAGCTTGTATCTGCTGTGGGCTGTACTGTTTGGGCACTTAGTAGGTAGATGGAGGAAAGCCAGAAGTGAGGGTACCCTGGGCTGAGGAAATGGCATTCTCTGGTACAGTAAGACACCCAGAAAAAGTCAGCAGCACTGAAGGATTGCTAGAGGGTATGGTTTGGGGTGCCAGGGGAGGAGTGGATATGGGGCCCAAGGTGAGGACTGTCAAGTGAGGATAAAGTAAAGAAAATTCATCAACAGCATTTGGGAGGCAAGAGCAGATCAGAACTGGGATGGTAAAGCAGCTTCATGCTTCCTGGGATGGGAGGTACTGGGGAGGAGAGATGCGGGAGGAGGTGCCTACCGTTTCCAGCCTCAGGTGTTGGCACCCGAGTTCAGTGTTAGGCCCTTCTCTCAGCTCTGTTTTGCATTCCTTTCTCTCATATTCTCTCTTGTTCTTACTCTTCCTTTATCTCTGTCATTTTATCATGAGGTTTTAGCCTCAGCCCCTTTCTGGTCATCTCAGGATTTGAGGATCTTGGCCTTGGATTTTCTGAGGGCCTTGGTCTTCTCTCTCTCTGACCTGGATCTTTCACACTAAGATTCTGTGTTTTGTCTCTGAGTCTGGCTCTCTTGTCTGAGTCCCTTTCCCATCCATTCAAGCCCTTGTCCCCACTGTCGTCCAGGGCCTCTTTATTTTCCATGTCCTCCATGTCCTTGCCATCTGCATGGCCTACAGTGGTTCTCACTCCCTGTTGACTTGTGCTATGTCTCTTACTGTCCTGCCCTGGCTCAGTCAGGTTCTCCTTGTCTCCTTGCACCCTGGCTCTCACTTTCTTGCCTGTGCTCTGGGTCTTTCTGTCTTTGTCGCTCTGTGTCTCTGAGACGTCTCACTGGGAACAGAAAGTGGAGGTTCCTCTCTTCCTTTCACTCTAACTGCACCTTGCAGCTCCCCCATCCACCATTGCAAGACACCTCCTGCTTTCCAGAGGTTGGAGAAGGGGTGGGTGGTGGGTAGCCCTCTGAGGACTGGCAGACTTCGCTCCTGCTCACTGTTCTTCTCTTCCCAGGGGAGAGTTGGGGCTGACTTTCCTGAACCTTCGTGACCAATCTTACCCCCCCCCCCTTCCCCAGATTATTACCTCAGAGGAGGCAGAGCGGCGGGGCCAGATCTACGACCGCCAGGGCGCCACCTACCTCTTTGACCTGGACTACGTGGAAGACGTATATACCGTGGATGCCGCCTATTATGGCAACATCTCTCATTTTGTCAACCATAGTGTGGGTGCCTCCAGCAGGCGGGCAGAGGGTTGGGAGGGGCAAGCCAGGGCCCCTCCTCACTTTCCCACTGTTCTTTCTTGCCCAGTGTGATCCCAACCTGCAGGTGTACAACGTATTCATAGACAACCTTGATGAGCGACTACCCCGCATCGCATTCTTTGCCACAAGAACCATCTGGGCGGGCGAGGAGCTCACCTTTGATTACAACATGCAAGGTGGGGGTGGCAAGGGCCCCAGGGGCAGGGGCACATGTGACATGGGATGTGAGGACCCCACCCCAAGGCACATGGGTCATTCAGTGGACCATGGGAAAATCTTTTGCTGGAGTTTTAAGATGTTCTTTCTGACTCCCAGCCTCCTACCTGGACCCTGCCCAAGGCTTGTGGGTTCCCATACTTCCACGCCCTTAACCCCAACCCTAAAAGACTTACACTACCTTCTCTCAAGACTTGTGGGAGAGGATGTTCGGCTGGAGAGTTAAGGCACACCTCACTTCATCTTGAATGAACTGCCCCTGCCCCTCCTGACTCTAATCCTCTTTCACCTTCCTTGTTCTGAGCCTCTAGATACCCTTGTGCTCTCCAGCCAGACCTCTTCTTGATAAACTAGTCATCTCTGAGACACTTAGCAGATAATGGGCAAGAGAGTTCAGGTGCCTTTTGGGTGCCCAGGTTGCTCTCCATTCCTGAACCCTGCCTGACATGACTTTCCTCCCCAAACATCCCTCAACCCCAGTCCTGAACAACTCCTGTAGTGTTGTGTCCCAAAGATCCCCTCCTAACCCCAAGATCCCTGGGTGTTCTGGTATAAGGGGTAGTAACAGGACACTTCATGCAGGCCTTCTAACAAACCCCCCCTCCTTCCCTGACTGTGACTTCACAGTGGACCCCGTGGACATGGAAAGTACCAGAATGGACTCCAACTTTGGCCTGGCTGGGCTCCCCGGCTCCCCCAAGAAACGGGTCCGTATTGAATGCAAATGTGGGACAACAGCTTGCCGAAAATACCTCTTCTAGCCCTGAGAAGTTTGAGGCCACATTAACTGAAGGGTCCTGAAGCCACCTTCCTCTCTACTGCTGCCCTCTTGTCAAGAATGACCATCAGAGCCTTGTCTGCCTCCACTTGTCCTCATCTGCCCCAACCTATTCCCTCCCTGCTCCAGGGTCAGGGCTGTGGTGAGGACTGACTCTGGGTACCCTTTCTTTCTCTCTTCCTTTCCCCTGTCCCAGGCCCATCAGGCATTGCACTTACAACTCCCAGCCACATTTTCAAAAGTATATTTTTCACATCAGGATTCCCTGGAGTTGGGATTCATGTTTGTCATGGAGGTCCAAAGGGTGAGCAACTCAACCCCAGAATAGAAAGACTTTTTTTCTGGACAGCATCTCTGCAGCTCTGTGTAGTTCAGGCTGGTGTTGGACTCTTAATCCTCCTGTCTCAGCTTTCCTCGTGCTGAGTGTATAGATGTATACCCAGCTAAGCTTTTTTTAAATTGCATCTGCTTCTGCTTGGAGCCTAAGTGACCTGTTGCAGGCCTCTTGACTGCTCTAACAGTATGAGGAAGCAACCCCCAGGCAGACAGATATCAGAGCTCAGAGATACCAGCGTGACTTCAAGCTGGATCAGCAACCACAGAGCCTTTGTACTCATGAAAGAAAGGAGGTCTCCAGGGCTAGTGGATAATTCTGGTTCTGCTCATTGTGCTTTTGATGCTGGGTAGTATTGACCTTAAGACCCACAGGGTCTCGGAGTTGCAAGTCTGAAAAGTAGTTGCCCAAGTGCCACCAGAATACCTCTTGGAAAGCTCCATGGGATGGTTAAGACCATCAGGGAGTAAAGAGTTCTAGATGTGCTGGAAACCCTGCCTTGGCATGTGATACCACTGGAACTACTAGAAGCTGGAACCAAGATATAGCTAGTCTGTAGATAGCACTTAAGACAATAATGTGCGTTGACTAGAAGCTGATGAGGTGCCAGGCACAGGGTAGAGCACCTGGTCCATATGGATTGTCTCAGGGAAGCCTTGAAAACCACACAGGTGGAGCCCAGGAAAAGGCCCATGTGGCAGAAGGCAACGACTAGGCCAAAAATGGTTGGGGAGACTTACTCACTAGAATATGGTGAGATGAGAGCCAAGCCCCCTTTACTTGTCAGCTTCAAGTATTCACCTGGCTCCACTAGCTCAAAAGTTAACTGCCTAGAAATGTACAAAAGGCAAAGATTCTGATGGCTGCCTTGCCCCCTGCTCTCCCCATTTCCTTCAGGAAGCCTTTCGTGACTTCCTGTACCCAGAGTGCCCCTATGTGAGACTGTGCACCCTGCTACCAGATCTGTGTGTGTGTGTCTGTGTGTGTCCTGCTCACTCCCCAGGCTGACCTTCAGGCATGGACTGAATCTGGTTCTCTTGTATACCCCTCAGCCCTCCCCAGCCTGGAGTGTGCATCAATAAACTGTGTTGTTGAGTCAATAAGCTCAGCTACGAGGGATTGGGGTCTTGATAATTAGGAAATGTGGAGCTAGGAGCTGGGGCTGCCCTCGAATGTAGTCTGACAAGCTTAAGTCATCTGACTGTAACCTTCCTACATCCCAACAGCTAAGGGACATCAACAGCAAGTGTTACAGAGAGCTGTAAGTTTACACTTTGGGACATGGGTAAAGCACCTAGGAGGGTTAACATAGTAGATGGACAACAGTAGAAAAGTATCAGGTGCCAGGAAAAGGTCCTGAAACTGCTCAGAAAAACCAAGACAGAATCCACATCATCATCAAAGACTTGTTCACTGGGATTTTGGCTCAAAACATCAAGGGGGTGGGGCCGGGCGGTGGTGGCACACTTCTTTAATCCCAGCACTGGGGAGGTAGAGGCAGGTGGACCTCTGTGAGTTTGAAGCCAGCCTGCTCTACAAATAAAGTTCCAGGACAGCCCGGGCTGTCACACAGAGAAACTGTCTTGCAAAACCAAGCCAACCAAACAACCTTCTAGGGAATGCCCTAGGCTCCAGATCACAAATAAAAAGAATCCTCATATTAAAATCTGATCTCTCCTCTAAAGAGATTCTTAAGTAGCTGAGAGGTATCAGTCAAACCCAGTCCAGCCCCGAGACTACCACAGAATTAAGACACTTTACATACAAAATACAGAGCTGCAAACAGCCCAGGAAATGCACTCTTTGTTGCCTACTTACCCATTAAAAGCTCAGAGACATTGATCTTGCATGAAATCCCTAATAGGTCAAGTATATCACACTATGGGACTGAGGCCACCCAAAAGACACAGGTATTGCACCTGGCAACGTATCATGAACGGTCAGGGAACTCTGGAATCAACAAGCTCAGGGGCCACATATCTAGGACACTGGTGATCAAACAGACCTCAATTTTAAGTACAGTCATCCCAATAGCTCAGTGAACTCACCCATGTAATGCAGACTAAAAACCCTCAAAACCACCTGAGATTCAGAAATCCTCCTAAGACTTAGGACACAGATTTCAAAAAATACAATTCAGAGACCGTACTGGATGTAGAACATCAAATAATTCGGATACATTCAAATGGTGAGATAAGCCATTTGAGGCCTCTCACAGCCAGACCTACACTAATGAACTGGTCAGGGATCTCACCCCCTGTGACACTAAAACAGCTCAGAACATTTAAATTCTAGGAAGCATATGCCCCAAACAACCTCACATCCTGTGACATAAGGGATCAAAAACCATTCAAGATGAGGTAGATATCCACAAACATTTCAGAGGAATAATGTTCAGGGCCATATAGCAACAAGCAGATCATAGATTGCAATCCCTAGAGCATAAGCACACAAAAATATCAGATACTTCCTATGCCAGGACAAACACCCATTCACATCACACTTGGGAAAATAAGCCAAAGACCTGATCAAAGACTTCCTTCTCATATTAAGGTACATGCCCATGACAAGGGTTGAGTATTATACCCCCGAACAAGCCATACCCCTCACAATCATGATGGGCATACAAAGGATGCCAGTGTTAACCACCTGGAAATGTATTCACAAAGGAGCAGAACCAGATGGGTGTGGTAACACTACTTTAATCCAATCCATTAGGGAGAAAGGCAAGTGGATCTCTATGAGGCCAGCCTGGTCTACATAGCAAGTTCCAGAGCTACAGAGTGAGATCCCGTCTCAAAAAAAAAAAAAAAAAAAAAAGCAGCTCCAGAGCCAGCCAACCATATGGAACATGTGTTCTTAATCTCAGTATTTAAGAGACTGAGGCAGGAGACAGACCATGCCTTATCAAAAAGTGAGAGAATAGAGTCTTTTAACTATGAAACATTCACAGACTTTCAAGTCTCTGATACACTTTTTGGTTTATGTTCCAGAGTGTTAGTGGGTATCTGGTATGAAGTGTGATTTTTTTTAATTTTTTTTTTATCTGTTAGAGACATCTGGGGCCAGGCAAACCAGAAACAGTTCCTAGACCCAATATCCTATAACACAGATCCACAGAGAGGTCAGAGAGCTCATTCATTACTTCATATTCCAGCCTAGAGATGAGAAACTGCCATCATTAGACATATACAGACAGAGCTCCCAAGCAGGGATATGTACCAGGACTCAGACAGACATGCCATAACCTCAGATAGTGTATTTGCAGAAACAAGCCACTTTTTTTGTCATAAAACAACACAAATTTATTTTACATTTCTTCAGGTCAGAAGAGGAATGAGTTTTAGTAGATATAATAGAAATTCAAGTGTAGGCTGGGCTCCGTGATACACATCTGTAGTCAGCTATTCAGGAAGCTGAGGCAGTACGATCAACTGAGCCCAGGAGTTTGAGGCCACCCTTGGCAACATAGCAAGACCCTGTCTCTTCTATCTAAAAATAAGTTTGAGAACCGAATATATCAAGTGGTCTTATTTATGTATAAATGATTTGGATACAGGCATGAAAAACTAAAATTTTGCTTTTTTCAAGTCAACTTGCCTGACTTCCCTCTGGAGCTCCTCAGGGACAATCCGCCCCTGTAGGAGGCCCACATTCTGTGCCTTACCACTCCTTCCCCCTCCACTTTTGAAGCCGGCCACATTTCATCACCCACTGGTTTTTTCCCCTTCAGCATCTTCCTCCTGACCGTCTCTCTGTATTTATCTCCTTCTGTCTCTAGCTCTCTGGATTGGTACCTCTTCTTGTTCTGCTTTCAGCACTACTCCACCTTCTCTGACCCTCACTTCCATGCTTCCCTCATATTGAGACACTTAGGATCATGTCGGACTACCCAGATATCCTAGGATTGTCCCCTCTCACGATACTTAATGATATCTACAAAGCCCCCGTACTATCCACGTCAGTTAGCATGGCTGCAGGTTCTAGGGATTGTGCGTGCTACCCTAATATCTCTCTGTTCTTTTTCAGGGCTATTTCCCAGAGTCCTCAGTCACTTGGAACTAAACTCTCTCATGTGCTAGTGAGATTAGTTCCAAGTGATTGAAGACTCGAAGGATGTTTTGGTATATGTCCCAGAATGTGTGTATGTGTGTTCTTTTTGTATGTCTGTGAGTAGGAAGGGTCTGACTTGGAAATTCATTGCTTCCTCTGAGGTCTGTGAGCTGTTTGTGGGTATGTCTCTGGGGGCCAGATAGCAGTACCCTGAAGATGTCTATTTCCCAATCTCTGGAACCTGCAGGTAGCAGGAATGCCACAGCCCAAGAAATTCACCCAAAGTACATCAATCCTCCAAGTCTGAGACACATACACAGTGCAAAGGGAAACACATTATTAGACATAAATCATAAGCAAGTCAGGCCCTTACAAATGGTCATATAACACAACTGAACAGATCTAAACCCCTTGACAAACACACACAAAGAATCAGACACCCACTATGATTCTATACTCAGACTAGGAACCTCAGGGGAAAAGAAAATTTTTAAAAGGAGAGAGAGCGCCAAGCAAGGTGGTTCATGCCTTTAATCCCAGCATTTGGGTCGAGCTGGAACAGGGACAGAATGGGAGGGCAAGGAGGGAGATACCATGATAGATGAGGACATCATGGGCATAGGAAGAGGCAGAGTGCCAGTGAGGCTCTCAGGAATCCACAAGGATGACCCCACCTTGGAGTGCTGGCAGTGGTCCAGAGGGTGCCTGGACCGGTCTACTCTGGTGACCAGTCTAGTGAATACCCTAACCGTCATCATAGAGCCTTTGTCCAGTGATGATGGAGGCAGATGCAGAGATCCACGGCCAGGCGCCAGGCTGAGCTCCTGGGAATCCAATCGATGAGAGAGAGGAGGGATTCTGCGGGAGGGGGACGTCGAGATTATGATGGGAAGACATGCAGAGATGACTGGCCACACTAGTGGAAGCCCATGAACGTAGACTAGTGGCTGTGGAGCCCCCATGGGACTGGACTAGGCCCTCTGGATATGGAAGACGGTTGTTTGACTCGAACTGTTTTGGGGACACCCAGGCAGGGGGATCGGGATCCATCCCTGGTACATGGGCAGGCTTTTGGGAGCCCCGTGCCTGTGGTGTGGTGCCTTGCACAACCTTGGTGCAGTGGGGAGGGGCTTGGACCTGCCTAGGCTCAGTGTGCCGGGCTCTGCTGACTCCCTATGGGAGACCTTGATATGGGGAATGTGGGGAAGTGGGGTGGCTTGGGAGGGAGAGTTGGGGGGTGGGAGGAGGGAGGAGGGGGGATCTGTGGGTGGTATGTGGAGTGAGTAGAAAATTTCTTAATAAAGAAAAATGAAAAGAAAAAAATCCCAGCATTTGAGAGGCAGAGGCAGGCGGATCTCTGTGAGTTTGAGGCCAGCCTGGTTTACAGAGTGAGTTCCAGGACAGCCAGGGCTACACTGAGAAACCCTGTCTCAGAGAGAGAGAGACGCACAGGGAGAGGGAGAGACAGCGAAGACCTCAAGTCTTACAACATGGGAAGATAAACAGGTTGAAACTTTACAGGCAGGACACACACCCAGAATAAGTACAGAAACCTAGCAGTCGGATTCCGACAAACAAATCCAAGTCCTTGCCACCTGAGATGGACACCTACAAACCAGGGATTTCAAATCCTGCAGTAAATATTCGTAATCAAGGCACAAAGCTCATGTAAGAAAAAGACCCCTAAACAGACTGTAGATCTGAGATCTTCTAACACACAGCCATAAAGAGATTAGAGAGTGAGTGGCTGGGGAAATGGCTCAGTGGGCTAAGAGCACAGTGCTCTTAGAGAGGACCTCAGTTTGGTTCCCAGCACTGACATGGCAGCTCAGAACTACCTGTGACTCCAGTTCCAGGTTCTATGTCTTCTTTTGGCCTCCCAGCACCTGCAGACACGTGGTGCACATACATGCAGGCAAGATACTCATGCACATAAATATGTTCATAATTTAATTTTGTTATTTTACGTGTATCAGTGATTGCCTATATGTATATGTCTGTGCACCACATACATGCATTTCCCACAGAGGCTAGAGGAGGGGGTCAGATCTCCTGGAACTGCAGTTAGAGATGGTTGTGAGCTGCCCTGAGGGTGCTGGGAACCAGGGCCCTCTAGAAGAGCATCCCGTGCTCCTAACCACTCTGCTCTATCCTTTCAGCCCATGAAATAAATCTTTGAAAACAAAACAAAGAGTTTGCATTCTGAGATGTACTCCCAGTCTCAGAATGGTCTGAAAGTCTTCAAATCAAAGTAAATAAACTACGAAGACAGGCAGTGGTGGCACACGCCTTTACTCCCAGGAGGCAGAGCCAGGTGGATCTATGTGATTATGAGCACAGCCTGGTCTACAGAGGGAGATCCAGGACAGGCACCAAAACTACATCCTGTCTCTGGAAAAACAAAAACGTTTTGGGGTTGGGTATTTAGCTCAGTTGTAGAGCACTTGCCTAGCAAGCACAAGGCCCTGGGTTAGGTCCTCAGCTCCCGAGAAAAAGAAAAGAAAACAAACAAACAAAAACCCATGAAGAGTCTAATGACTCCACAGCCTGGACATCTACCTGCATGTGCATCATACAGATATATGAGCTAAAAAAAAAATCACATGAACTTACAGATGAACTCCCAAACCTCAGAGATCTGACAACATGGAACACACATGTCCCAACAGTTCAGGGGACATCCCTGTAGAGCTCAGAGAACAAACTGGGGGGCTAGGGCACTTGCCTGGTGTGTGTGTGTGTGGTCCTTAGGTCTGATACTCAAAAGTGCAGGAAAGACAGCTTAGAGAACAAACATGTCCCTAGGTCAAGTTTTCATGAGTAGATCTAAAAGCTCAAGTGCTGTGATAATACCTTCAACACAGATAAAAGACATCACACTCTCGGGTTATGCCAGGGAACCCGCGACTAGGCAACGTGGCGACTTGTCGCCCTGGAGGACCCCACAATGTCAGCAGCTGAGAAAATCTTACAAGGGAGAGACCGGCTCCTGAGCGGAGGAATACTAAAAAAATAAGTAAAAATAACAGAGAAAAAATATGTGTCAGAAGTGGGATTCGAACCCACGCCCCCATTTGGAGACCAGATTCCCCACAGGGAAGGCTGTTGCCTTGAGTCTGGCGCCTTAGACCACTCGGCCATCCTGACACCTAGGGAGCTCTGCCTTCCTGCTTCTCCTGAAGCCTGCGTGCTGCTACGTGTGCAGTCATTCCGCAATGTCCCTCCCAGCTGGCTGCAGCGGCCAATAGTGAGCTCCACGCTGTTGCCCCCTGTAGACCCAGAAACACAACGCGGGGAGAGACGGGGAGAGATGGAGAGATGCAGGCAGCATGGAGTAGCGGCCGAGGACTGGGCTGTCACCCTTGTTTCCGGGCAAATGCAGCCAGCGATCGGGATACAACCGGAGACCAGACTGGGAGCTCCGGGCTTCCCTCTGAGCGACCTGGGTTAGGTGAGGGTCGCTCCAGCAGCCGCGACACAACTCGGAGTGCTTCAGCTTGCAAAGGGAAGGCTCAGGACCTCCCTGCAGAACAGTCCTGGACCGGCCGGCGGATGGCTGAGTGCCTTTCTCCCAGACCACCTGTCGTCCCCTTCCTCTCTTCCCCCGACTTCTTCCTCCATGTAACCCCAACACTTCCCTTTCCCTGGTGAGCTGATAGGGAGAAAATCAGTATTGCTATTCAACCTGCGAGAAAACCACCACCACCACCACTACAAAAAAACTACCACCAACAAAACCACACAAGGCTATGAAAGGTAGAGGGGTCAGAACTGCTGGGGAAAATCTCATTAAAGCAATTTCCTTTTGGAAAAAAAAAAAAGACATCACACCCTCTTGTCCTTTCTCCAATGAATGCATCAGACATTTAACACCATCAAACATCACCTACAAATAGTTCAGAAAATTTACATCTTGGGATCCACATCAACAGAAAGATGATGTATAACCAGGAGACCATAAAACCACAAAGAGCTTATCAACTGCACACCCTGTATACACACCCAACTTGATCAGAGACCACACTGCCCTCAGGTAATGACCTAGAAACAGATCACAGACTTTATTTTCTGTGGCACACCCTTAAAGAGATGACAGGTTACACCCTCATTTATCTGCAGATGGATCCAAGAAATTACAATATCAGACACACTCCTATAAAAGTGGATCAGAGCTCATACCTTGGGACAACACCAACAAAGAGCTTATAGGTTTCACAGCATGAACAGGTGTCAGGAACCTCAGAGGCTACCAACAGTTCAGAATCCTAACACTATTTGATATTGTGATCAGATTGGTCAGGCAGTTGAAGTCCTGGAATATGTGACCACAGATAGTCCTGGAATATGTGACCACAGATAGTCCTGGAATATGTGACCACAGACAGATTAGAGGTCTGCCCGAAGACCCACAAAGAAATCAGTCTTCAAACTCCAGACCCTGAGTCATGCACATAAACAGATCAAAAAAGTTCACCTTTTCTCAAAAAATGATTTTCTATTTATTTGATGTAGCCAACATTGTAGTACTGTATGTTCAAACACAAATCTTCAAATCTCAGAAATGTTTGCTTATTCAAAATAATACTAAATATTTGAGTCTGTTTTATGTCTGTTTGGTTACTAGTGAACAGGAAGTAACATACTCTGTGTCATAATTTATTGTACTGGCAATCAAAGATGATCATTTTCTGTGACTTTAGAAATGTTAAGGCAATATTAAGTATTAACTATGGTAGCAGTTTTATAACATATCCTCTTCAACAAAGCATGTCTCTATGACCTCTCCCCATAAGTACAGTTTTCTCTCAGTTGATGAGGTGAAATACTGTATTTAAACATGAACCTGACTTTTTCTTTTGAATCCCTGAAATTTTTTGCACATATCTGGTGGCGTTAAGTGTTCTTTATTTCATGCATCAATCAGTATATGTGTTAAGATGTTTACTGTTTTAAAATGGGGGCATATTCACATACTTTGGAATCTGCCGAAGTCCTCGGACTATTCAGATGGAATACGGTTAGACTGAGTGACATTCTGTTCTTTCCCTACCATGTGTATCTCAGACTCAAACATACACATTTCTTCCTTCTCCTGAGACTGAACTATGAAAGCTGATTTTTATCTGGCTATAAACAGCAAAGGGCAGAGTCAGATGTTGTTTAAAAGGGTGTTTTGAGCCGGGCGGTGGTGGCGCATGCCTTTAATCCCAGCACTCGGGAGGCAGAGCCAGGCGGATCTCTGTGAGTTCGAGGCCAGCCTGGGCTACCAAGTGAGTCCCAGGAAAGGCGCAAAGCTACACAGAGAAACCCTGTCTCGAAAAACCAAAAAATAAATAAATAAATAAATAAAAGGGTGTTTTGAAACTGTGGGACTCAGGTAGTATTGCTGAGTTACAAAGGGATCAGGATTCATGATTTTTGGTCATAAAAACACTGCAGATCCAAAAAAAAAAAAAAGTTCACATCCAGGGATTTATTCTAAAACAACACAGAGCCACATAAACACCCACAAACAGAGCAGATCTCCTGTAATGTACAACCATAGTCAGAGACTTCATCAACCGGGAAATGCCAGAAATAGATCCTAGATCTGACACCTTGTAATCTAGAACCATGAACAAATCAAGACGCACATGCACTAAGACATTACTAGCAACAGGTGAGGCCTCAACACAGAGACGAACAAGGTTTAATGTCAGACAACAACATCCTGGTACACATATAACCAGATAAGCCAAGGAATGTGTTATTAGAAATAGTGCCCCTCCCCTGTGGCTGTAGAGATGGCTCAGAGGTCAGGAGCACTGGCTACTTTTCCACAGGTCCTAAGTTCAATTCCCAGGAACCACAGGGTGGCTCACAACCATCTGTAAGGAGATCTGGTGCCCTCTTCTGGCCTGTAGGCATACATGCAGACAAAACACTGTATACACAATACATAAATCTAAAAAGTAAAAAGTACCCCCTAAAATGAGACTAAACAAGTTGGACATCGCACCCAAAATTTCATACATACTGTAAGATAACAAACACATATAACTCAGCTTAGAAGCATTACATACTGTAAGATAACAAACACATATAACTCAGTTTAGAAGCATTACATACTATGATATAGATATCCTAATAGTTTAGTGATCACAAATTCTAGGACAGCCACCAGACATTCACAAACCATCATGTACATCTGTATGTATATATATATATACACACACATACATCTGTGTGTATATATACATATATACACACAGATGTATATATGTATATACACACACACACACACACACACACACACACACACACACACACACATATATATATATATATATATATAGGGGTTTTTTTGAGACAGGGTATCACTACGTAGCTCTGGCTGTCTTGGAACTCACTCTGTAGACCAGGCTGGCCTTGAACTCACAGAGATCCACTTGCCTCTGCCTCCCGAGTGCTGGGATTAAAGATGTGCAGATGTGGTGATAGTTTGTTGTACTCTAATAACATTTGCCTGAAGATCAGAGGACAGAGCCACTCACTAGATTAACATAAAGGTCAGGCAGTGGTGGCATACACTTTTAATCCTATCACTCTGGAGGCAGAGATCTCTGTGAGTTCAAGGCCACACTGGGCTACATTATATTGATCCAGTCTAGGAGAGAACCAGAGCCAGGCAGTGGTGGCACACACCTTTAATCCCAGTATTTGGGAAGCACACACACCATTAATCCCAGCACTAGGAAGGTCGAGATAGGAAGTGAAATGGCTGGGCGGGAAAGGCATATAAGGTGGGAGGAGACAGGAACTAGAGCCCTTTTGGCTGAAGACTCAGGAGCATTCAGCCAGAGGATTCGTGGAGTTGGCGAGGTGAGAAGTAGCTGTGGCTTGTTCCTTTATCTCTCTGACTTTTCAGCATTTACTGTAATACCTGTCTCCGGGTTTTTATTAAAAGACCATTTAGGATTCATGCAATACCTAGAACCATGTATTTATTCATTTCCTATTGCTACAATAAGAAGTCATAATCTTAGAGTCACAAAACAACACCAACTACCTTACCTTTCTACAGTCGGAAGCCAGAATGAGCCAAAATCAATGTATCAGCAGCAGGGCTCCGTTGCTCCTGTAGGTCCAAGGGGAGTTTTTTTCCCTCTGGCTTTCTTGGTCTAGAGAGGTGTTTATTCCTTGGCTTTGGCCCCTCTGTCTATCTTCAAAGACAGCAACAGTTCATCTTCATCTTTGGGTATCTCTCCTTTCTTCCCTCCTTCTGATGTCACACTGGTTCCTCTGCCTCTGACTGCCCTGCTCTCTCTTTCAAGGACCCTGGGATAATGCTGAACCCTACTTGACACAGGGATAAGGAGCTTCCTATTTGGGAACATGAACACAGAAACAGATCAAGGACTTAAGTGAAAGAAAATATCCCCACAAATCCACAAAGACGTCAGAATTCTTACATTCTGGCATACGCACTTCAAGAGATCAGAAAACTATCGTGATAGGACATGTACACAAAAGATCAGATTAGAGGGGGCTGGAGAGATGGCTCAGAGGTTAAGAGCACTGCTTGCTCTTCCAAAGGTCCTGAGTTCAATTCCCAGCAACCATATGGTGGCTCACAACCATCTGTAATGAGATCTGGTGCCCTCTTCTGGCCTGCAGGGATATGTGCACTGTAAACATAATAAATAAATAATTAAAAAAAAAAAAAAAAAAGATCAGATTAGAAACCTCCCATCATAGACAGAGAGCACCCACCAAATGCCTCAGGGCACAAATCCTGAAACCTACACCGCCCAATAGATCAGAAACACAATCTCCTGGCTCATCACCTATGCACAGATGACAGTCCATCCCACACACTGACAGATCATACAGGGTTTCCATCCAGAGAGGTACACCGAGAACACATAGGCATCACCTGGACACTGACAGTCTGATTGACACTGAAACCCCCCCCCATAGTCTCGTTTGCAAAACAACAACACATAATCATTTTATTTCTTATATTTCTGTAGGCAGGAGGGCCAAGGGGGAGTGTTACGGTGTCAGAGTCAAGGCCTTCGCAGAACTTCTTCCCTCTGGTGTTCATCACGGGGAATCCAGTTCCCATAAAGTGCCCACATCACCCAGCTCACTGCCTTATCCTCCATCCTCAAAGGCAGCAGCATTTCACCTTCAAATCTCTATTTCCTCTCCAAGCCCCTTTCTCTGCCTCTTTATCTACTCATCATTTCTATCTGTCTGAATGATTCCTGCTTATCTTTTCTCACTCAGCTTACTGATCTTCTCCTTATACGCACGCTCGTGCCTTCCTCTTACAACATTTGTGTTCACGTTGGACCACCCAGGTAATTAATCTAGGATTATTTCCCCCTCCCAGGATGCTTAGTTTAATCACACCTGCCAAGCTCCCTTTTCTATGTTCATTATTATAAGTGCTGGTTCCAGGGACTGGGAATTGGACATCTTTGGAGTACTGCTACCTGACCACCAAAGACATACACACACACACCAACGGCCCACAGACTTTTCACGCTGTGATGCATCAGGGTCACCTTGGAATTCCAGGATCACTGCCCCATCTCAAGATTATTGCTTTGTCAAGCCAGGCAGTGGTTGTGCACGCCTTTAATCCCAGCACTCAAAGCAAGGACAGGCAGATCTGTGAGTTCCAGGCAGGCCTGGTCTACAGAGCGAGATCCAGGACAGGCACCAAAACAACACAGAGAACGCCTGTAATCCCAGCACTTGGGAGGCAGAGGCAGGTGGATCTCTGTGAGTTCGAGGCCAGCCTGGTCTACCTAGCTAGTCCAGGATAGGCTCCAAAGCTACAGAGAAACCCTGTCCCGAAAAACCAAAAAAAAAAAAAAAAAAAACAAAAACACAGACAAACCCTGTCTCAGAAAACAAAAACAAACACACACAAAACAAATAAAAAATACCCATAATGTTTTGGGGTTGGGTATTTAGCTCAGTTGTAGAGCACTTGCCTAGCAAGCACAAGGCCCTGGGTTAGGTCCTCAGCTCCCGAGAAAAAGAAAAGAAAACAAACAAACAAAAACCCATGAAGAGTCTAATGACTCCACAGCCTGGACATCTACCTGCATGTGCATCATACAGATATATGAGCTAAAAAAAAAAATCACATGAACTTACAGATGAACTCCCAAACCTCAGAGATCTGACAACATGGAACACACATGTCCCAACAGTTCAGGGGACATCCCTGTAGAGCTCAGAGAAACTGGGGGGCTAGGGCACTTGCCTGGTGTGTGTGTGTGTGTGTGTGTGTGTGTGTGTGTGTGTGTGTGATCCTTAGGTCTGATACTCAAAAGTGCAGGAAAGACAGCTTAGAGAACAAACATGTCCCTAGGTCAAGTTTTCATGAGTAGATCTAAAAGCTCAAGTGCTGTGATAATACCTTCAACACAGATAAAAGACATCACACTCTCGGGTTATGCCAGGGAACCCGCGACTAGGCAACGTGGCGACTTGTCGCCCTGGAGGACCCCACAATGTCAGCAGCTGAGAAAATCTTACAAGGGAGGGACTGGCTCCTGAGCGGAGGAATACTAAAAAAATAAATAAATAGATAAATAAAAATAACACAGAGGGAAAAAAAAAACCTTACGTGTCAGAAGTGGGAATCGAACCCACACCTCCTTTTGGAGACCAGAACACCCACCGGAAGGCTGCTGCCTTGGGTCTGGCGCCTTAGACCACTAGGCTGTACTGACACCTGAGAGGCTCTGCCTTCCTGCTTCTCCTGAAGCCTGTGCGCTGCTACGTGTGCAGTCATTCCGCAATGTCCCTCCCAGCTGGCTGCAGCGGCCAATAGTGAGCTCCACGCTGTCGCCCCCCTGTAGACCCAGAAACGCAACGCGGGGAGAGACGGGGAGAGATGGAGAGATGCAGGCAGCGTGGAGTAGCGGCAGAGGACTGGGCTGTCACCCTTGTTTCCGGGCAAATGCAGCCAGCGATCGGGATACAACCGGAGACCAGACTGGGAGCTCCGGGCTTCCCTCTGAGCGACCTGGGTTAGGTGAGGGTCGCTCCAGCAGCCGCGACACAACTCGGAGTGCTTCAGCTTGCAAAGGGAAGGCTCAGGACCTCCCTGCAGAACAGTCCTGGACCGGCCGGCGGATGGCTGAGTGCCTTCCTCCCAGACCACCTGTCGTCCCCTTCCTCTCTTCCCCCGACTTCTTCCTCCATGTAACCCCAACACTTCCCTTTCCCTGGTGAGCTGATAGGGAGAAAATCAGTATTGCTATTCAACCTGCGAGAAAACCACCACCACCACCACTACAAAAAAACTACCACCAACAAAACCACACAAGGCTATGAAAGGTAGAGGGGTCAGAACTGCTGGGGAAAATCTCATTAAAGCAATTTCCTTTTGGAAAAAAAAAAAAGACATCACACCCTCTTGTCCTTTCTCCAATGAATGCATCAGACATTTAACACCATCAAACATCACCTACAAATAGTTCAGAAAATTTACATCTTGGGATCCACATCAACAGAAAGATGATGTATAACCAGGAGACCATAAAACCACAAAGAGCTTATCAACTGCACACCCTGTATACACACCCAACTTGATCAGAGACCACACTGCCCTCAGGTAATGACCTAGAAACAGATCACAGACTTTATTTTCTGTGGCACACCCTTAAAGAGATGACAGGTTACACCCTCATTTATCTGCAGATGGATCCAAGAAATTACAATATCAGACACACTCCTATAAAAGTGGATCAGAGCTCATACCTTGGGACAACACCAACAAAGAGCTTATAGGTTTCACAGCATGAACAGGTGTCAGGAACCTCAGAGGCTACCAACAGTTCAGAATCCTAACACTATTTGATATTGTGATCAGATTGGTCAGGCAGTTGAAGTCCTGGAATATGTGACCACAGATAGTCCTGGAATATGTGACCACAGATAGTCCTGGAATATGTGACCACAGACAGATTAGAGGTCTGCCCGAAGACCCACAAAGAAATCAGTCTTCAAACTCCAGACCCTGAGTCATGCACATAAACAGATCAAAAAAGTTCACCTTTTCTCAAAAAATGATTTTCTATTTATTTGATGTAGCCAACATTGTAGTACTGTATGTTCAAACACAAATCTTCAAATCTCAGAAATGTTTGCTTATTCAAAATAATACTAAATATTTGAGTCTGTTTTATGTCTGTTTGGTTACTAGTGAACAGGAAGTAACATACTCTGTGTCATAATTTATTGTACTGGCAATCAAAGATGATCATTTTCTGTGACTTTAGAAATGTTAAGGCAATATTAAGTATTAACTATGGTAGCAGTTTTATAACATATCCTCTTCAACAAAGCATGTCTCTATGACCTCTCCCCATAAGTACAGTTTTCTCTCAGTTGATGAGGTGAAATACTGTATTTAAACATGAACCTGACTTTTTCTTTTGAATCCCTGAAATTTTTTGCACATATCTGGTGGCGTTAAGTGTTCTTTATTTCATGCATCAATCAGTATATGTGTTAAGATGTTTACTGTTTTAAAATGGGGGCATATTCACATACTTTGGAATCTGCCGAAGTCCTCGGACTATTCAGATGGAATACGGTTAGACTGAGTGACATTCTGTTCTTTCCCTACCATGTGTATCTCAGACTCAAACATACACATTTCTTCCTTCTCCTGAGACTGAACTATGAAAGCTGATTTTTATCTGGCTATAAACAGCAAAGGGCAGAGTCAGATGTTGTTTAAAAGGGTGTTTTGAGCCGGGCGGTGGTGGCGCATGCCTTTAATCCCAGCACTCGGGAGGCAGAGCCAGGCGGATCTCTGTGAGTTCGAGGCCAGCCTGGGCTACCAAGTGAGTCCCAGGAAAGGCGCAAAGCTACACAGAGAAACCCTGTCTCGAAAAACCAAAAAATAAATAAATAAATAAATAAAAGGGTGTTTTGAAACTGTGGGACTCAGGTAGTATTGCTGAGTTACAAAGGGATCAGGATTCATGATTTTTGGTCATAAAAACACTGCAGATCCAAAAAAAAAAAAAAGTTCACATCCAGGGATTTATTCTAAAACAACACAGAGCCACATAAACACCCACAAACAGAGCAGATCTCCTGTAATGTACAACCATAGTCAGAGACTTCATCAACCGGGAAATGCCAGAAATAGATCCTAGATCTGACACCTTGTAATCTAGAACCATGAACAAATCAAGACGCACATGCACTAAGACATTACTAGCAACAGGTGAGGCCTCAACACAGAGACGAACAAGGTTTAATGTCAGACAACAACATCCTGGTACACATATAACCAGATAAGCCAAGGAATGTGTTATTAGAAATAGTGCCCCTCCCCTGTGGCTGTAGAGATGGCTCAGAGGTCAGGAGCACTGGCTACTTTTCCACAGGTCCTAAGTTCAATTCCCAGGAACCACAGGGTGGCTCACAACCATCTGTAAGGAGATCTGGTGCCCTCTTCTGGCCTGTAGGCATACATGCAGACAAAACACTGTATACACAATACATAAATCTAAAAAGTAAAAAGTACCCCCTAAAATGAGACTAAACAAGTTGGACATCGCACCCAAAATTTCATACATACTGTAAGATAACAAACACATATAACTCAGCTTAGAAGCATTACATACTGTAAGATAACAAACACATATAACTCAGTTTAGAAGCATTACATACTATGATATAGATATCCTAATAGTTTAGTGATCACAAATTCTAGGACAGCCACCAGACATTCACAAACCATCATGTACATCTGTATGTATATATATATATACACACACATACATCTGTGTGTATATATACATATATACACACAGATGTATATATGTATATACACACACACACACACACACACACACACACACACACACACACACATATATATATATATATATATATAGGGGTTTTTTTGAGACAGGGTATCACTACGTAGCTCTGGCTGTCTTGGAACTCACTCTGTAGACCAGGCTGGCCTTGAACTCACAGAGATCCACTTGCCTCTGCCTCCCGAGTGCTGGGATTAAAGATGTGCAGATGTGGTGATAGTTTGTTGTACTCTAATAACATTTGCCTGAAGATCAGAGGACAGAGCCACTCACTAGATTAACATAAAGGTCAGGCAGTGGTGGCATACACTTTTAATCCTATCACTCTGGAGGCAGAGATCTCTGTGAGTTCAAGGCCACACTGGGCTACATTATATTGATCCAGTCTAGGAGAGAACCAGAGCCAGGCAGTGGTGGCACACACCTTTAATCCCAGTATTTGGGAAGCACACACACCATTAATCCCAGCACTAGGAAGGTCGAGATAGGAAGTGAAATGGCTGGGCGGGAAAGGCATATAAGGTGGGAGGAGACAGGAACTAGAGCCCTTTTGGCTGAAGACTCAGGAGCATTCAGCCAGAGGATTCGTGGAGTTGGCGAGGTGAGAAGTAGCTGTGGCTTGTTCCTTTATCTCTCTGACTTTTCAGCATTTACTGTAATACCTGTCTCCGGGTTTTTATTAAAAGACCATTTAGGATTCATGCAATACCTAGAACCATGTATTTATTCATTTCCTATTGCTACAATAAGAAGTCATAATCTTAGAGTCACAAAACAACACCAACTACCTTACCTTTCTACAGTCGGAAGCCAGAATGAGCCAAAATCAATGTATCAGCAGCAGGGCTCCGTTGCTCCTGTAGGTCCAAGGGGAGTTTTTTTCCCTCTGGCTTTCTTGGTCTAGAGAGGTGTTTATTCCTTGGCTTTGGCCCCTCTGTCTATCTTCAAAGACAGCAACAGTTCATCTTCATCTTTGGGTATCTCTCCTTTCTTCCCTCCTTCTGATGTCACACTGGTTCCTCTGCCTCTGACTGCCCTGCTCTCTCTTTCAAGGACCCTGGGATAATGCTGAACCCTACTTGACACAGGGATAAGGAGCTTCCTATTTGGGAACATGAACACAGAAACAGATCAAGGACTTAAGTGAAAGAAAATATCCCCACAAATCCACAAAGACGTCAGAATTCTTACATTCTGGCATACGCACTTCAAGAGATCAGAAAACTATCGTGATAGGACATGTACACAAAAGATCAGATTAGAGGGGGCTGGAGAGATGGCTCAGAGGTTAAGAGCACTGCTTGCTCTTCCAAAGGTCCTGAGTTCAATTCCCAGCAACCATATGGTGGCTCACAACCATCTGTAATGAGATCTGGTGCCCTCTTCTGGCCTGCAGGGATATGTGCACTGTAAACATAATAAATAAATAATTAAAAAAAAAAAAAAAAAAGATCAGATTAGAAACCTCCCATCATAGACAGAGAGCACCCACCAAATGCCTCAGGGCACAAATCCTGAAACCTACACCGCCCAATAGATCAGAAACACAATCTCCTGGCTCATCACCTATGCACAGATGACAGTCCATCCCACACACTGACAGATCATACAGGGTTTCCATCCAGAGAGGTACACCGAGAACACATAGGCATCACCTGGACACTGACAGTCTGATTGACACTGAAACCCCCCCCCATAGTCTCGTTTGCAAAACAACAACACATAATCATTTTATTTCTTATATTTCTGTAGGCAGGAGGGCCAAGGGGGAGTGTTACGGTGTCAGAGTCAAGGCCTTCGCAGAACTTCTTCCCTCTGGTGTTCATCACGGGGAATCCAGTTCCCATAAAGTGCCCACATCACCCAGCTCACTGCCTTATCCTCCATCCTCAAAGGCAGCAGCATTTCACCTTCAAATCTCTATTTCCTCTCCAAGCCCCTTTCTCTGCCTCTTTATCTACTCATCATTTCTATCTGTCTGAATGATTCCTGCTTATCTTTTCTCACTCAGCTTACTGATCTTCTCCTTATACGCACGCTCGTGCCTTCCTCTTACAACATTTGTGTTCACGTTGGACCACCCAGGTAATTAATCTAGGATTATTTCCCCCTCCCAGGATGCTTAGTTTAATCACACCTGCCAAGCTCCCTTTTCTATGTTCATTATTATAAGTGCTGGTTCCAGGGACTGGGAATTGGACATCTTTGGAGTACTGCTACCTGACCACCAAAGACATACACACACACACCAACGGCCCACAGACTTTTCACGCTGTGATGCATCAGGGTCACCTTGGAATTCCAGGATCACTGCCCCATCTCAAGATTATTGCTTTGTCAAGCCAGGCAGTGGTTGTGCACGCCTTTAATCCCAGCACTCAAAGCAAGGACAGGCAGATCTGTGAGTTCCAGGCAGGCCTGGTCTACAGAGCGAGATCCAGGACAGGCACCAAAACAACACAGAGAACGCCTGTAATCCCAGCACTTGGGAGGCAGAGGCAGGTGGATCTCTGTGAGTTCGAGGCCAGCCTGGTCTACCTAGCTAGTCCAGGATAGGCTCCAAAGCTACAGAGAAACCCTGTCCCGAAAAACCAAAAAAAAAAAAAAAAAAAACAAAAACACAGACAAACCCTGTCTCAGAAAACAAAAACAAACACACACAAAACAAATAAAAAATACCCATAATGTTTTGGGGTTGGGTATTTAGCTCAGTTGTAGAGCACTTGCCTAGCAAGCACAAGGCCCTGGGTTAGGTCCTCAGCTCCCGAGAAAAAGAAAAGAAAACAAACAAACAAAAACCCATGAAGAGTCTAATGACTCCACAGCCTGGACATCTACCTGCATGTGCATCATACAGATATATGAGCTAAAAAAAAAAATCACATGAACTTACAGATGAACTCCCAAACCTCAGAGATCTGACAACATGGAACACACATGTCCCAACAGTTCAGGGGACATCCCTGTAGAGCTCAGAGAAACTGGGGGGCTAGGGCACTTGCCTGGTGTGTGTGTGTGTGTGTGTGTGTGTGTGTGTGTGTGTGTGTGATCCTTAGGTCTGATACTCAAAAGTGCAGGAAAGACAGCTTAGAGAACAAACATGTCCCTAGGTCAAGTTTTCATGAGTAGATCTAAAAGCTCAAGTGCTGTGATAATACCTTCAACACAGATAAAAGACATCACACTCTCGGGTTATGCCAGGGAACCCGCGACTAGGCAACGTGGCGACTTGTCGCCCTGGAGGACCCCACAATGTCAGCAGCTGAGAAAATCTTACAAGGGAGGGACTGGCTCCTGAGCGGAGGAATACTAAAAAAATAAATAAATAGATAAATAAAAATAACACAGAGGGAAAAAAAAAACCTTACGTGTCAGAAGTGGGAATCGAACCCACACCTCCTTTTGGAGACCAGAACACCCACCGGAAGGCTGCTGCCTTGGGTCTGGCGCCTTAGACCACTAGGCTGTACTGACACCTGAGAGGCTCTGCCTTCCTGCTTCTCCTGAAGCCTGTGCGCTGCTACGTGTGCAGTCATTCCGCAATGTCCCTCCCAGCTGGCTGCAGCGGCCAATAGTGAGCTCCACGCTGTCGCCCCCCTGTAGACCCAGAAACGCAACGCGGGGAGAGACGGGGAGAGATGGAGAGATGCAGGCAGCGTGGAGTAGCGGCAGAGGACTGGGCTGTCACCCTTGTTTCCGGGCAAATGCAGCCAGCGATCGGGATACAACCGGAGACCAGACTGGGAGCTCCGGGCTTCCCTCTGAGCGACCTGGGTTAGGTGAGGGTCGCTCCAGCAGCCGCGACACAACTCGGAGTGCTTCAGCTTGCAAAGGGAAGGCTCAGGACCTCCCTGCAGAACAGTCCTGGACCGGCCGGCGGATGGCTGAGTGCCTTCCTCCCAGACCACCTGTCGTCCCCTTCCTCTCTTCCCCCGACTTCTTCCTCCATGTAACCCCAACACTTCCCTTTCCCTGGTGAGCTGATAGGGAGAAAATCAGTATTGCTATTCAACCTGCGAGAAAACCACCACCACCACCACTACAAAAAAACTACCACCAACAAAACCACACAAGGCTATGAAAGGTAGAGGGGTCAGAACTGCTGGGGAAAATCTCATTAAAGCAATTTCCTTTTGGAAAAAAAAAAAAGACATCACACCCTCTTGTCCTTTCTCCAATGAATGCATCAGACATTTAACACCATCAAACATCACCTACAAATAGTTCAGGAAATTTACATCTTGGGATCCACATCAACAGAAAGATGATGTATAACCAGGAGACCATAAAACCACAAAGAGCTTATCAACTGCACACCCTGTATACACACCCAACTTGATCAGAGACCACACTGCCCTCAGGTAATGACCCAGAAACAGATCACAGACATTATTTTCTGTGGCACACCCTTAAAGAGATGACAGGTTACACCCTCATTTATCTGCAGATGGATCCAAGAAATTACAATATCAGACACACTCCTATAAAAGTGGATCAGAGCCGGGCGGTGGTGGCGCACGCCTTTAATCCCAGCACTCGGGAGGCAGAGCCAGGCGGATCTCTGTGAGTTCGAGGCCAGCCTGGGCTACAGCGCGAGATACAGGAAAGGCGCAGAGCTACACAGAGAAACCCTGTCTCGAAAAACCAAAAAAAAAAAAAAAAAAAAAAAAAAAAAAAAAAAAAGTGGATCAGAGCTCATACCTTGGGACAACACCAACAAAGAGCTTATAGGTTTCACAGCATGAACAGGTGTCAGGAACCTCAGAGGCTACCAACAGTTCAGAATCCTAACACTATTTGATATTGTGATCAGATTGGTCAGGCAGTTGAAGTCCTGGAATATGTGACCACAGATAGTCCTGGAATATGTGACCACAGATAGTCCTGGAATATGTGACCACAGATAGATAGTCCTGGAATATGTGACCACAGATAGTCCTGGAATATGTGACCACAGATAGTCCTGGAATATGTGACCACAGACAGATTAGAGGTCTGCCCGAAGACCCACAAAGAAATCAGTCTTCAAACTCCAGACCCTGAGTCATGCACATAAACAGATCAAAAAAGTTCACCTTTTCTCAAAAAATGATTTTCTATTTATTTGATGTAGCCAACATTGTAGTACTGTATGTTCAAACACAAATCTTCAAATCTCAGAAAGGTTTGCTTATGCAAAATAATACTAAATATTTGAGTCTGTTTTATGTCTGTTTGGTTACTAGTGAACAGGAAGTAACAAACTCTGTATCATAATTTATTTATTTTTTCTTTGTCAACTTCTTTTTTATTTTTATTTTTTATTTAATTAATTAATTTATTTATTTTTCTATTATCAGCTTGATACAGTATAAATTATTATCTTAATAGTGAAATGTTTCATTGAGGCTTGCTCAGTAATTGAGTAAAACCAAAACTTATTATAAGCTACAGTCATCCTAGGGTCCCCCCTTCTATATATATAGCCTCCAAGATTCTGTGGGTTGCAGTCTGATTGTTCTTTGCTTTATATCTAGAATCCACTTATGAGTGAGTACATACCATGTTTGTCCTTCTGGGTTTGGGTTATTTCACTCAGGATGATATTTTCTAGTTCCATCCATTTGCCTGCAAATTTCATGCTGTCATTGTTTTTCTCTGCTGAGTAGTATTCCATACTGTATATGTACCACATTTTCCTAATCCATTCTTCAGTTGACGGGCATCTAGGTTGTTTCCAGGTTCTGGCTATTACAAATAGTGCTGCTATGAACGTAGTTGAGCATGTATCTTTGTGGTGTGCCCAAGAGTGGTATGGCTGGGTCTTGAGGTAGATCGATCCCCAATTTTCTGAGAAACCACCATACTGATTTCCACAGTAGTTGTACAAGTTTGCACTCCCACCAACAGTGGAGGAGTGTTCCCTTTGCTCTGCATCCTCTCCAACATAAGGTGTCTTCAGTGTTTTTGATCTTAGCCATTCTGACAGGTGTAAGGTGGTATCTCAGAGTCGTTTTGATTTGCATTTCTCTTATGATTAAGGATGTTGAGCATTTCTTTAAATGTCTTTCAGCCATTTGTGATTCTTGTTTTGTGAATTCTCTGTTTAGTTCTTTAGCCCATTTTTTAATTGGATTGTTCAGTATTTTGATGTCTAGTTTCTTGAGTTCTTTATATACTGTGGAGATCAGTCCTCTGTCAGATATGGGGTTGGTGAAGATCTTTTCCCATTCTGTAGGCTGTCTTTTTGTCTTACTGACTGTGTCTTTTGCCCTACAAAAGCTTCTCAGTTTCAGGAGGTCCCATTTATTAATTGTTGCTCTCAGTGTCTGTGCTACTGGTGTTATATTTAGGAAGTGATCTCCAGTGCCAATGCGTTCAAGAGTACTTCCTACTTTCTCTTCTATTAAGTTTAGTGTAACTGGGTTTATGTTGAGGTCTTTGATCCACTTGGACTTGAGTTTTGTGCATGGTGACAGATATGGATCTATTTTTAATCTTTTACATATTGACATCCAGTTATGCCAGCACAATTTGTTGAAGATACTTTCTTTTTTCCACTGTATAGTTTTGGCTTCTTTGTCAAAAATCAGGTGTTCATATGTGTGTGGATTAATGTCAGGGTCTTCAATTTGATTCCATTGGTCTGTATGTCAGTTTTTATACCAGTACCAAGCTATTTTTATTACTATAGCTCTATAGTAGAGCTTGAGGTCAGGGATGGTGATGCCTCCAGAGGTTGCTTTATTATACAGGATTCTTTTAGCTATCCTGGATCTTTTGTTTTTCCATATGAAGTTGAGCATTTTTCTTTCCAAGTCTGTGAAGAATTGTGTTGGGATTTTGATGGGGATTGCATTGAATCTGTAGATTGCTTTTGGTAAGATTGCCATTTTTACTATGTTAATACTACCTATCCATGAGCATGGGAGATCCTTCCATTTTCTGATATCTTCTTCAATTTCTTTCTTTAGAGATTTAAAGTTCTTATCAAACAGGTCCTTCACTTTTTTAGTTAGTGTTATCCCAAGGTATTTGATATCATTTGTGGCTATTGTAAAGGGTGATGTTTCTCTGACTTCTTTCTCAGCCCTTTTATCTTTGTGTATAGGAGGGCTACTGATTTTTTTTTAGTTGATCTTGTATCCTGCCACTTTACTGAAGGAGTTTATCAGCTGTAGGAGTTCCCTGGTAGAATTTTTGGGGTCACTTATGTACACTATTATATCATCTGCAAATAGTGAAAGTTTGACTTCTACCTTTCCCAATTTGTATCCCCTTGATCTCCTCTTGTTGTCTTATTGCCCTAGCTAGAACTTCAAGTACTATATTGAATAAATATGGGGAGAGTGGACAGCCTTGTCTTGTTCCTGATTTTAGTGGAATCGCTTTGAGTTTCTCTCCATTTAATTTGATGTTGGCTGTTGGCTTGCTGTAAATTGCCTTTATTATGTTTAGGTATGTTCCCTGTATTCCTGATCTCTCCAAGACCTTTATCATGAAGGGGTGTTGGATTTTGTCAAAGGCTATTCAGCATCTAGTGAGATGATTTTTTTCTTTCAGATTGTTTATATGGTGTATTACATTGACAGAGTTTTGCATGTTGAACCATCCTTGCATCCCTGGGATGAAACCTACTTGGTCATGGTGGATAATTTTTTTGATGTGTTCTTGGATTCGGTTTGCCAATATTTTGTTGAGTATTTTTGCATCAATGTTCATGAAGGAGATTGGTCTGTAATTCTCTTTCTTTGTTGCATCTTTGTGTGGTTTGGGTATCAGGGTAATTGTAGCCTCATAAAAAGAGTTTGGTAATGTTCCTTCTGTTTCTATTGTGTGGAACAATTTGAAGAGTATTGGAATTAGTTCTTTTTTGAAAATCTGGTAGAATTCTGCACTGAAGCCATCTGTTCCTGGGTTTTTGTTGGTTGGGAGACTTTTGATGACTGTTTCTATTTCTTTAGGGTTATTGGTCTATTTAAATAGTCTATCTGGTCTTAGTTTAACTTTGGTATGTGGTATCTATCCAGAAAATTGTCCATTTCTTCCAGATTTTCCAATTTTGTGGAGTACAGGTTTTTGAAGTATGACCTGATGATTCTCTGGATTTCCTCATTGTTTGTTGTTATGTCTCCCTTTTCATTTCTGAATTTGTTAATTTGGGTGCTCTCTCTTTGCCTTTTGGTTAATTTGGCTAGGGGTTTGTCTATCTTGTTGATTTTTTTCAAAGAACCAACTCTTTGTTTCACTGATTTCTTGGTATTGTTCTCTTGGTTTCTATTTCATTGATTTCAGCCCTCAATTTGATTATTTCCTGGTGTCTATTTCTCCTGGGTGAGTTTGTTTCCTTTTGTTCTAGAGTTTCAGTTGTGCTGTTAATTCATTGGTATGAGCTGTCTCAATCTTCTTTATGTGTGCATTTAGAGCTATGAATTTTCCTCTTAGCACTGCTTTCATTGTGTCCCATAAGTTTTGGTATGTTGTACTTTCATTTTCATTGAATTCTAGGAAATCTTTAATTTCTTTTTTTATTTCTTCCTTGACCCATTGGTGTTTCCGGTGGGCATTATTCAGTTTCCATGAGATTGTAGGCTTTCTATAATTTTTGTTTTTGTTGTAATCTAACTTTAAGGCATGGTGGTCCGATAAGATACAGGAGGTTATTCCAATGTTTTTGTATCTGTTGAGATTTGCTTTGTGACCAAGCATGTGGTCAATTTTTGAGAAGGTTCCATGGGGTGCTGAGAAGAAGGTATATTCTTTTTTTGTTAGGATGGAATGTTCTGTAGACATCGATTAAGTCTATTTGAGTCATAACATCAGTTAGGTCCTTTATTTCTTTGTTAAGTTTCAGTCTGGTAGATCTGTCTTTTGGTGAGAGTGGTGTGTTGAAATCTTCCCACTACTAATGTGTGGGGTTCGATGTGCAACTTAAGCTTTAGTAATGTTTCTTTTATGAATGTGGGTGCCTTTGTATTTGGGGCATAAATGTTCAGAATCGAGACTTCATCTTGGTGGATTTTTCCTGTGATAAATATGTAATGTCCATCCTGATCTCTTTCGATTGATTTTAGTTTGAAGTCTATTTTATTAGATATTAGGATAGCTACACCAGCTTGCTTCTTCGGTCCATTTGATTGGAAAGCCTTTTTCCAGCCCTTTACTCTGAGATAGTGTCTGTCTTTGAAGTTAAGGTGTGTTTCTTTTATGCAGCAGAAGGGTGGATCCTGTCTTCTTACCCATTCTGTTAGCCTGTGTCTTTTAATAGGTGAGTTGAGACCATTGATATTGATGGATAT